GTATCCTTGAATAACTTTTGATAAAGGTCTTCAATGAAATTATTAATTTGATGCAGACTACATTTTCCAAATGAAATATTTTGTGAAGAGATCAAAGCGCTTCCGGTGCCATTTAGAATAAAGATGCATCCATTGAAGTGTAGGGGGAACCAGTAAAGTAAAAGTGAGAACTATAATTGTCGAGAAGTTGTCAATTGGAAAATATAAATAACTGATAACTGATATATATTCCGTCAATTCTCATCTATAGTCGTAGCTTTCCGTAAGAGGTCAGCTCCACCCACTAATTTGCATACGAGCTTGAACTCTCTGTCGAAATTGACAAATGTAAAATCTACATTTGTAAAATCGACATTTCACACAACATCGAGCTGACACAATTCTACACTTGTAAAGTTGACAAATCGACTATTGAGGTTGAAATGAACATTTACAAATCAATCTCTAAATTACTAATATACATTTGAACTTTCTCAAATTGACAAATGTATTTTCTACAAATTACAATTCGACAAATGTACTTTTACAAATCGACATTTGTATTGTAGGTTTGAATCGGATCTTTCCATATTAATTTGTTTAATTAACTTTTGTATGTTACATCATACTGGTTATCTATAATGAAATTACAGTTGAACATAACAAATGTGTTTAATATTGGACAAAAAAGAATGGATTGTCGTCTAAATTAAATTACTTTTATGGTAAAATTACTAGCCTATAGCTGACTGGCAACATGTTCTCCCGGAAAACACTTCAAATCTTCCTGCCTAGAATTCTATCAAGATAATGAAATGTTAATAGATAAGAGCTATTTTAGATTTAAAATCGATTGATCACAATAGATTCATTTCAAATGGGATTTATATCATTCAAGGGTTCTTTTTTCAACGTCAGACTTCAATAATAACATAACGATTTAACTAAAGACTAAAATAACGTTAAAAGTATATTTTAATAAAGTTTTACATTTCATTCCAAAATAGACCATTTCAAGGTCAACTGATTTTACGTATATTTGATTTAAGTGAGACCATGAGAACATGTTTTGGTCTTCAAAACTTGTCTATTTTGGGTTGTAGGACAGGCATCTTCACAATGTCACTTCTTCAAGAACTTTGACTGCAATAATCACTTTCTCAGTGGCCTCAACAGAAAGTCTGTGAACACTAAGCCACAAAGTTGACAGCCTTTTTGTCGAGGGCTCTGATACCAGAAAGGTGGAATTCAAGGTATAAGTATGAAGTTCGTAATAGTTAGATATTGTGAAGATGCGGGACGGTTATATATCTATCAGCATCTGATTAATTTTATTTCTTTAAAAAGCAGTGTTCCAAACCGAGGAAAAGAAATTTTGCTTTTCTTCCTTTTTACCACAATTGTTAAAATTGAAAATTTTAATATAATAGAATATTTGGACGTAATACTCAATTTCATTTAATGAAATTTTTAAAAAGAAATTAAAAATCTCTTCCAAATGTCATCTTTTGATGAAGTAAATTGTATTGATATACGCACGAAATACAACTTTCTTAGACCTGTTCTGGACTAGAACCGTTATGGACAAAAGACAAATGAATATAAAGAATTGGAAACTTATTCAATAAAATCTAATTCCAAGGAATCCAATTTGTTAATGAAAAACAGACGCTTTTATTCACATTGCATGAAGTCACGTTATCTTCATATTACTTTCTTTATAAACAGTTATAACATGGTTCACCATTCTCAAATGAGAATATTCACTTTGTCTATATACACTGGGATTATGTCTTTTACATTCTATAGATACTAGTGGAATTCTATGGCCTAATCAAGTGTTGTTTAATATACTTGAATGCTTTATGGGATTCTGATCGATGAGGTATTCTCTTCAAGCTTATTAACTATTAAAATTAAAACTTGCCTTGGATATCGTATTGACATAGTAATTACCTTTGTTAACTTTATTAAGTTCGGCTGTCCTGAGCAGTGCGTGGATATCATTAGATTTAAGGATGATTTATATTTCTGACGCCGTCAACAGGCCCGTAGATTGACCAGTACTCCTGGCAAACGTGCAATCGAGGGGGGCAATTTAGCAAAGCACCTTAACAGACGATTAAACGTCGGGAAACGGACTTTCATGGAGTATTTTAGATTCGAGATTATTTTTGTTAAAACACACAAGTTATAATACGTTACATTTTTATTGCCGTTTTAGTTTAAACGTAGTGGGATACGTTTTATGGCAAAACGTTGAACAAATACGTCCAAGTTAATTTTCTGGGTACGCTTCCTGTTGAAGGCAAGAAGAACAAGATTGCGCTGGCGAAGCTGAGTCATAGATCGTCGTTGTGGTGAGTCAACGCGAGTAAGAGTTGAAAAGCTGCTTTCACACACAGCGGTACTAGAACCGAATGTGGCAACGCTTGCAGCCAGTGCATATAATTTAAGGAAAGCCAATTTCTGCTCGTATAGTTTTTGAAGAACAAGATTGGAGTCCTGCTTTTTTGTATCACCTACAGCATGCTTCCAATCTGTGTAGCCTTCAGTGATGAATTTTTATGCACTCGCAGATGTATTGTGAAACACTCGACATAGAAATCAAAAAGGGGCGTCCCTTGACACTGAATACTCGAGCCATGGAAATCGATCATTCCAGTTGTAACTTAAATGGCGACCAGACTTCGCTGGAAATTTTATTCTCGATTGCTTTGGAACGCCTTCTTTTCCAATGTCACCTGGTCTTTTCAGAGCATCTTGGTACTGTATCCGTTGTGTTGCCCGCTGTGGTTTTGATACCAGTGTCAGTCGTAGTAGTGTCGGAACCATCAAGCAATTTGTCTTTTATGATCAAATATGTATCCATTTTTCCTACGTTTGGTTGTTTGATTCATATGAATACAAATTATGATATTATATGTCTATTAGTTTAGTATTTATAATCAACCAATCAAATCTTTTGAATTTTGAGACGAGACAGATTACAATCCAGTATCAGACCAATAATTTTGTTACCAATAACGCTTTACTGCAGACTTTTTATGATTTTCAACGAACTCAATTGTATCAAATTATCTATTCTAATTTAATTAAATTTAAAAAGCTATGATGTCAGGTTTCATCCTCAGCTAAGTATAAACAGAAAGATATTTAAAAACAGTTCTTAAGTAGGCCTACAGATAGGAATACTTAGTATTTTGTTGAACCATTTCGCATAACGCAGCCCTGAAAGCCATAACCTTATTTTTCGTTACGGGGGGGGGGGGCAAGATTTGATTTAGGGATGGCAAAGCCCCCCCTAAGCCCTCCCTTGGCTACGGGCCTGGCCGTCAACCATGCGTGTCAGCGCATACAGGTGTATACTATTCACGTCAGTGAGTGCTCGCCGTGTAACATTTTCCAAATTTCAACTGTGTTGAACTTTTACGTCGTGAATTTGTATACGACAGGGATTCAACCAATCACAAGAAGCTATTAGACAACACAGACAATCGAATCTTGAAAATGCGAGCGTCTTTGCGCGTGTTTACAGTAACATGGGACAGTGGAGCTAACGCGTTTTAAGGTCTGTTGAGTGGATTTATATTATACTTCTGACGCCGTCAGCGCATAGGTTTATACTATTTATAACATTTTCCAGCGTATGCAAATTCACGCCGTGATATCTTAACACAACTCTGAAAAATGTTACGCCGACTTGCGACGATATACGGCGAGTACGCGCTGACGTGGATAGAATAAACCTTTGCGCTGACGAATGCTGGCAACCGCTGATCCTGATCGTATGAGGGCGTCAGAAATATAAATCCACCTTTACGGGGGTTGACACAGTTGTTATCGTCCATGCATCTTGTAGCCCTGTTGAAAGTCGGTGATATAATACCACAAATTATAATACACTAGAAGTATTCGATTATCTCTTATTCCTCTCAACATAATTTGATTTCCAATGAGTTAAACTCGATTATAACCTTACAATGTTTTCATCAGTATGGGATGGATATTGTTGAAGTCGTTTTAAGAGCTTATCAAGAAAAATCAATTAGACATGTGAACACGAAATAAGCGCTTTTGCCAACTATAATGAAACGAAAGCAAACCAACATTGACGTTTGTAAAAAACATTTTTGTGATGACCAACAATAAACATTTCTCCTCGTAAATGGGTCTACAGAACGAATAGTTTAAGGTATAGGTCTAGATTAATTGTCCATTGGGATGAATGTCCCTACCATATACAATATTTTTGCAAGAAAACCAATTCTGAAAGGCAAATGGAAAAATTACTTTAAATGAAAAGTGAGCAGACTGTCAAACTTTAGTCACTTTAGTTGCTACTGGGGTCTTGGTCATTTCGTAACCAATACGGTGGACCAAACGACAATATTGAGTCTGTATAAAGAGACAGGATCTGTCAGAAGCTGATCACAGCCTTCAGCTTGAGACGAATTCGTGTAAAGACTTAAATATCACAATATTAATGATGCTGGGCAAAACATGTGCTTTCCATACGGAAAATTAACTGGAAATATTGTTACCAATGGAACAAACCACATGGAGAAATCCACCGATAGATAAAAAATGATGCTGTGGATATAATGGTTAAGGCTGGTAGATTTTTTATGATGGAATTGAATTTTTAAAATACTTTATTTCAAATTGAAATGTGTCGAGATTTTATCAGTAAAGATGTGATCATCATCAGGATAGTATATATCTGGCAGTACAGACACACTTAACTTTTGTGGTCATATCAACATTTGTAATATTCGTTTCTTTCTGCGTCTGCATCGAAATATATAATGTCGATTAAGTATTGTATTGTAATTTGATTTAGATCTGTATGTTCTGGTTATGATTATTGGTAAAAATCTATGGACAACAAAACGAAAACACTTGATGAGATCACCATTGATTGCTTACCATCAAACATTCACTTGTTAACTAACCCCCATTACAATATAATAAATCATTCGTTCAATATTAAATTGTCATGTCTATTTTGTTTTTTTCAGGGTATCGAGATTTTGTTCACAGACCAGAAAATTTCCTAGTTTTATTACACTGCACAGAACATGATAACCAGGAATTACGTGATGCTAGTGAGTTATAATTTATACAATATTTTTATCTTGTACGATTCGTCAAATTAATTATTAGAATTGTGGACTCTAAGAAAGGGGTAAATACAAACACCACTCAAGAAATGGCAACAGGTGATCCCGAGCGGTAAATATGTCTGCTTGGGACATTTGCCATGAAACACAGGTTAAAATAAGGTGGTAGAAGACTCTTACAATTTAGATAATTAAGTAGTTTATTCTAGCCTTTCTTCTCATGTTTTGGTTCAAATTAAATTTGACCCCTAATTAAACCACACACAATTTGAATAATTGTAATTCAAGACGGTTTTTTTTTACTGCTGATAGACACGACAACGACTATTTCACTTTTATTACAAGAAATGTTGTATTTTAGAATTTATTTAAGATGTATGTCAGTAATTGCATTACATATAGTCACGGTCTATAGCTGTGTAGAAAACTTGAGTTAATAAATTGTAATTATCCATTCTTGAAAAATCTTTCTACGAACGCATAGTGGAAGTCTTTCAGTTAGTGGGCCAATATCACAGGCCTAAACCTTACACAGGTTGGGAATATTGAACAAAGGAGATCATTTCTTTTTTTCATGAGATCAAAACTAATCTTAAATCTATGATCTTTGGTGTTATTCTCGTAGATTTATATAAGGGAATATGTTTTTATTCGTTTGCCAATATAACAACGTTTGATATATTCGATTTCAGAAATTCGACAAAAAAAGGGTTCAGGTATATACATAAATATATTGCGAACGCTTAGCAATTTGTAAACTCATCGTCGCATCTATTAACAATATATTTCTAGATGAACTGTCCACTCATTTACCAATGTAATTTTCAGTAAAATGACTAACAATGTACAAATTGATTTCAATCAATCTGGCTTAGATGAGGTAACAAACAGTATTACATTATCATGATATGGATTGCTGCCATCAATAATAAAGGAAAAATAGATAGATGTTAATAACGATAATCGTTGTATAGAGAACTTAAGGTTCATCCATTGATTCTCCTACGTAATCTCGTTATGGAAATGAAATACAAACGTATTAGATAACATATTATTAATTATATACCCTATGGAAAATATTTCATAATTACTTTTATTATGCAGTTATTGACATTGTGTACATAATTATCGATATTTGAGACAAACTAATTCCTGTTTGGAATATTAAGTTACTGTTGCTTGGTAAATCACGCAATATCATGTTTTTGTTTTGACAGTAACCTATGAAAAGTAAAGTGTAGTCGTTCTGAGTTCTGGTTAGTTACACCAAATGTGTCGACTTCCTCGCTAGATTGCTAATGACTTCCGGTATATAGCATGCTACCATAACGGAAGTTGCTAATTATTCTGCTGAAATCTGTTTTATGTCGTTTATTTTTTGTATATTATTGAAGGCAATTCCAAGAGTAATTGTATATTTTAGGCCTAGTGAAAGACCTAATACGTGTATTGCTAAATATAAAGAGTGAATTGTAAGTCATCAACACTATCTGTACAATTGGGTTTTTTTTAATTTCATGTCAGAATTTCTTTTGGATCATCTTCTCCGTTTCAACAGACTTGTTGTCATTCAGATCTGCAAATACTGAATCTAGCTCATACCTCATTGAATACAAACACGTAAATATCAGTAATATAGAACCGGGAAGAACAATCAAATAAGAAGAAGTAGCATTGTCAATAATTCAATCTAAAAAATTACCAGACGTAAGTTGGATTTTTAGTATGCCCAATTTAATTTTCCAATTCATCCGTGTAATTGAATCTAAACTGACATAACAATTTGTTCACAGACTCAAAAACAAGACCTCTTATCTTCATTTACAATTATCAAACTCTGATGCGATTTGGTTTGCCATCCCTTTATTAGAGTCCACATATAGAGTTTTTTGGATTATTATTGAAATATTTACAGGAAATGGGTAGTCTAAGCATGATATTAGCCATTTGATTCAGACGCATTTTTAAAAAATTATAAGTTGAAAAAGAATAATTATCTGTGACCTTAAATTTTGAAGAAATGCAGGCTTGCATGGCTCTTATGCACGATATTTTACTTTCTAGTTAGATCACTGAGCACTAGTTTAACTATAACTGTCACTTTCGAGGCTGATTCGATATTTATGGAAGAATTTCTTTTCAATTTTATTTGTGTAACAAACGAAATGTTAGTATCTTTCCTATCTTTAAGAGCTACACATTGACACTCTCTGATACATAAAGTATAGTTAGTATAGTGATATTTATAAAGGCATTTTACATAAATCTAAATGCAATTTTAGTGTTCTAAACGTCAATTCTTTAAGCATGATCAATTCGTTTTTAATGAATTGTAAATGAATAATTCAAAGAAGGCATAAATAGGTCTAAAAGTCTGCAATAATTAATCACTTTGTTCTCTTCCTCTGTAAACAACATTTCCCACGTACAGTAGTAATCAATCGATATTTCAATTAAAGAGATATTATAGCTGTTTCTGGTCAATTTCTTGAAGGTGGTGGTTATTGTCAAGGCCTAAAGTATGCAATTACCATCAACTAAAATCTGCACAGGATTTGTCTGCATCGTGTCCATATCGTTTTAATGAACTAAAATTCCGAAGCTCTTCACCCTTTATCTGTCTGTCTTAAGTGTGTTCTTGTTGATATCATTGGATGTATCGATATTTATGTATTTATCATTCGTTATTTGTCAGGAAACTGTGACCAGAGATATCACAGGAATTTCAAGTACCTTCTTTGAAAACATTCCATAATTCCACTTTATTAGATTATATTATTATATATACTGATTAGGCGGAATTATGAACTCAAGTTCCCCATAAAAGGTTGGACGAGTTCATAAAGTCAAAAGAAAGATTAAATTGACTCAAGCATTGTCTTAAGAGTTTTGTTCGTTCATATAAAGGTATAGAGGTGACAAACCCGTCCACTGTTTAATCACAACTGTTCGTCTAATGTATTTACTGTCTATATTTCACCATTATTTACCAGCTATTTCATGTTGTGGCTTTAATTCCAAATGTTTAAATATGACACAGACTAAATTGGTTTCAAGTTATTACTGATCTTTAAATTGCTAAATGTATTTATTATTCAATATTTCCACATCGATTAACAACATTAATGAAGGTATTTTATTGCTCGTTGAACTAAGGCAAATAATATGTGAGCAAACATTATCAATATATTGCTTTATATAAAAAAATAATTTTTATATCAGAACATTAACTCCTATTGAACTTGGGACACAGAATTAAATGAAATGTTATGGTGTGGTATTTTCTTATGTGAAGCATCGAAATTAATGGCGGGTGATATCATCCACCCAGCGTTTGAATCGATTAAGGCGACCTCTGTTAATCTGTTATACATACATTATATATATATACATGTATTCCATCTTTAAATCCCAGCAGAAAATCCAAACTCTGAACCAACCAACTTAACTTAACCAACTATGATTATGCATAGATTACCACATGTTTTCATTTTGTTATTGTAAATCTATCCATATGTCATCCAGGTAAAAAATAAAGTTCAGACTTGATACAAAATAGCAATTCTATTTCAGGTCCAGGAAGAACGAAGACTATGATAGTCGAATTAACAGAAAGAATGAGATTTATTGAGGATAAGTTTGGTCAACTTATGCAACGATCAGGAGTAAGTAAATCCATCATTCCCGAGTATCTATATATGTAAGATTTCATCCTAAACGCTGAGAAAACAACTAGTATACAAAGTAGCTAATTTTAGTCATTTGGACTGTTGAGGGATCCAAAATAAATGTTGTCGTTATTGGCACTAATGCAAAAGTAACCGTACGAAAGTCACATTATGAATTTTGTATACTTTTTAAATTTAAACCTATATTTTAGATATCTGGTAGAATACAGCGAGGCGGTGGAAAGCCTGGAGAAGCTATTATTAAAGCCGCCGTCGAAGAAGGCGCTAGTATGATAGTCACCGGAACACGAGGATTAGGAAAGATAAAACGAACATTTTTGGGCAGTGTTAGTGATTATGTGGCCCATCATTCACCAGTGCCTGTTATTATCTGTAGAAAAACCTGCAAATCTTCTGAATAACCAATTAAAATATCTAGTATTATTCCAAGCAGCATGTTTGGTGTTAAACTATTACACGAACATTGTTCATACTGCCTTCAATTAACTGTATTTATTAGGAGATGTTTTCAACTAGAGCAGTTTTCAGACTTGGTGATCTAGCTACAGTGTGAATATACAAATAGGCAGTGGATGAACATGGTCCAGATTTGAGCAACGATAACACTTTTGATTAATATTTCCATAACAATGCTTGCTATCCTTAACTTCCCACAGTTACTTCGATACTGAAGCACTATTCTCACTATATTTCTGTAACAGATTCACATTAGTTCTTTTTTTACAGTATTAATGTGTATGCTGTCGCACTTAAGCTTAATACCTTACATAATTATTGTTATGTTTGCATTCTAAACTATTTCTCTATGCTATATTCTATAATACCCTTTCATATTCAGTTATATTCGCATTCTAGAATAGTCGTCTATTTTGAGATGTTATATTCACAGTTTAAAAAAGCCCACTATATCTCGATGTTGTATTAAGCAAGGAAGCAAAATATCACCCTCGAATTAATAGGGGAACCCCAAAATCAGTGTTTGAATTGTCTTACAATTTAAATATGCGTAGTTCGCAATAGTTATATTATAATTATATAATAATGTGCATAATATAATTACAAGGAGAAAACTTTAAATTGTCTTATATCAAAAAAAGTAAGACTATGAAATGATATATGGTTGTAACTGATCGTTAATTCTTCTATGACAAATTGTTAATCTACTCTCTGTTATTGCCTTTTCCCACCATAGAGACATAGTAATATTCACTTTAATAGAGATATGTGTCGTAAAAAAAAAGACGAACAAATAAGCCTTTCAAAAAAGGTTGCTTCCCTCGAATTTAACAGCTTTTGAAATCTAGATGTCGATTTTGTCAAAATAAAAGAAGGCTAGATCAAATGCAAGTCAAATCGTCTGAGACATTATTAGACTTGAAACCTTGTGCTGTGCGATAAGACAGGACTTGTATTCCTCACAATATGCGAAACCTAAACGATGCAAGCTATAACTAATTGACAGACATTGAGGCAGCCTATGGTTACTGGGCAATGGGGGATAACTGACTATATACAATATTTTATACAGATTTTGAAATCATCTTTGTAGGTTTTACCCTGCACTTGTACAAAACGAATAAAATAAAATTTATTTGTCACGGTCTTTATTTTATATACATAAATTTGTTTTAAAGGGTGTCGTTAAAGTACTGGTTATCTCTAACAAAAGACTAACAATTTTATTGTGGTTTGAATATCACCGAAATTGCGAAAAGCTGGAAATGGTACGGATATGTTGGGCGGTATATACTGATAAATTTAATATCCACGGTATTTCTATAGTCAATCTGACTTGTATCTCACATATTTACAATGAGGGTCTACCCCATTGAAAAAAATATTGTATATGGATTGAAGAAAACATCCTTATATTCATGGTATTCACTAAAGTTGTCTGGCCATACTAGGAATGGAAGAACAAGCATTAGCGTGTTGAAAGAGAGAGATAGGCAGGAAGCGTTATTTGATATAGAAGTGGCTATATCACAGGGACTGGTTGAACCGAACCCAACCTAAGGGGGCCCCGGGCCCAAGATAAAATTGCAGCAGGCATATTTTAAAACAAATTTCCTGGGAAAAGTGGCCCAACCCACTCATCTAGTTGAGCAGATGGTCATTCTTTGTCGCGTGGTGGCAAGCAAGACACAATGTTTTGAAAACGTTTATAGATCGTCACTAGTGGTAGAACAACATTTCAAAAATGTTTCGAAAACGTTTTGTGTTTACGGGGGTCCTAACTGATCACATATTCAAAAACATTGAGACTTTTTCCGTCGCCAATGGTTCGCAAACAATCGCAAAGCGCAGTTGGACTGAGGCATTTGAGACCATGCACGCAAATTGGCCATTAATCAAGTGAGTGAGAATACATTCAACATATTATCCAGTATCACCATGGAGACGACAGACGTAACCATAGCGAAAAGGAAGGCACGATTTACAGAGCTAACAATCGATGTACTCCTTGATAACATTGAAAAACATTCTTGCATGTAGCTTAAATGAATAGCCCCCCCCCCCTTTCCGAATGGAAAATGTGGGACAAATTATCTCGCCCCATTTCCCGCTCCAAACGCCAAACCAGTGCTTTTTGTGACAATTTGGCCAAGGCGCTGGCTGGGGTCGACTTTTGGACGTTTCTGGTGTGCATATTGCAGAAGGTAATTTGTCTGGCAAAGAAAATATACTTTGTCTCAAGGGGTACAAATAATGTTTGATCTAGTGTGTCTGGAAAGAACCATATTTTGTCTAATGTGATGTATGCAATACCGTGGAATATACTTTATGTGGTACCAATCTATATTTTATCTACCATATCTTTTTGTCTCACTTCGGAATCACAAGGGGGTAAACGCAGCAGCAGGTCTCCGACAGGCGTCAGTTCTATATATTCCCCATCATTATCTACATGATCCCACACTCCGCAATTGGTGCCAAGTTCGTTTGACCAAACTACTCCTGGCTGTTGCTCCACTAGTATTATTGTGGCCTTTTCGTTGCACATATATCTAATTTCAATTTTCTTATAGATCTCCCCGTCAAGAGTGCAAAATACATCAAGGGCCAGCAATCAGGTAGTCAGTTTAGAAGGACTTTAAGTTATTCGAAAAATAAAAATACTACAATATTCAGATAAATACTACATGTAATTTTCAGTAATAAATATATGGTATAATTTCATGCATAGGATTTTATTTAGAAACACCGTTAGTCTACTGTACTAAAAGATTTAGACATTAACATAGAACATTAACAGAGGACATATATAGAAGACTTAAACAGAGAACTAAAACGTCCAAACAGAAAATAAAAATGCTAAACAAAATAGGGTATCTTGGAATAGTATGCAATGCTAACTTTAATATTATTAAAAGATAAGTAAACTGGCTATTTAGAGTTATGAATTATACATATTATATAGCAGTAGCAATAAGATTCAGTGAGACTTACACTCTTATAAAAAAAAGAAAAAACACGTTTTGATTGAACACTTCTATCTAAACACTTTGTCGTACTATGGTAAATCTTTGCTGAAAAAGAAACAAAAAATTATCATAATATAATAATTTCAAATCATATACATGTATTATAATAATAATAGATTACCCTTGAAAAACGCGAGTCTGGTGGTCAAGGTAGGACTAACCAAATCCTCAGCATTTTTAATTTTGAGTTTTTGAAACTAACACAAAAATACTTACCAAAGTCGACCACAGGTTCCACAAAATTCCGTATCTGAACGACAATTCTGTGTATCTGGATCGAAGACAAAATTCGAGGGACATTTAACAACTTCTGCAACTACTCCATTTTCACAGCGTATGAATATATCACATCTGCCTCCCTGATCTGGAAATAGTCCATTTTGGACGCAAGCGGGTGCAAGTCCACCTCGACTTTGTGGAATTCTATACAATGGTTCACATTTATTTGTAATGGGAGAGAAAAGACGGGCAATATTCAATGTTTCGTCTTTACTGCAGGTATCAACTTTGATGGTTCTCTGGTCATTGCAGATTACGTAAAATGGTGACCATTCCCGATTTTCATGACTATGGCGTCCGTTGGATTTTCCGGTGCATGTTGCAACACATGGTTGGCAATGAGAAGTTCCACACTTTCCTCGTCTGTATTCACCTAAAATTTAAATAATAACTAATGAAAGATATATCGAGATCAGTCGTTATTCTTATGTCTACTTAAGCCACCCAATATCTATTTGTATTGGATATTAAACTATAGGTCAACTGTGGTAAAATATAATACTCACAAGGACTGACGTGTTCTACCAATCGTCCACATTTTACGTCTTTATATGGTCGACAACTCAGTGTGGTGGAATCGAATAAATTTGGGTATCTACACTCATCCAGATATTGTTCAAAATAGCGTGGAACGAAATCATAGAACAGACTACAGTTGTAGTACAATTGGCATTCACTCTCATGAGGAATTAACTGTTCGCCTGCTGAGCATCTTTCAGCTACCGTCTTCTTATCTGATGGAAAGAATATTGAATTATCATTTCGCATTTCAGTGATATAATACGATACTGAATCACAATTTAAGTTCTATCTGTAGCTGACCATCTTGTCAACGATCCTGAAGGAACGACTCGGGCCAGTCACAGTCAAACCAACGGAAGTTGTGCTTGTCTTTAATGGGCTTGACTTATTTATTCTTTGCTTTATTACTCATTCATACATAAGCAAATAATTGCACCCTAAGAAGGATAGGTAACATTTAATAATGAGGTTTTTGTCAAAAACTTCCTTATTTAAAATGATCCTGAAAATTTGTGATAATATTCAATATTATAACTGTTACTGTTACGGTGTTGCGATGACTTTCGAAAGATGAAATACGAAAGATATGCTCGTAGAGAAAGGCTCAAACTTAAGGTTACATCGGCTCCATTCTCGATCTTGCAACAATGTAAGAATAGATCTAAAAAAAATCGCACGTGACCAAGCACGACTATGATCGCAGCGGTGTTTTCCCGTCGTCGTGAGCAAAATCCGTGCGACCTTCCCATTACTTTCTGTGTACGCTCTATATTCGATGGTATCTCGCTCTAACCGCGTCCTACGCTCTGTAGACGCTCTATGAGTTTATCCACTCGATCCGATACGATCTGAAAGGGATTGTAAAGAGGTTTTCTAGCCTTGGTAACACAAGTGAGAAAAATTACGTATTCGTAGATAATTATTGTCCTATCAAAATTGGCCCTATTTATTGGTAGCAAATTTCAGCCAATCAAAACAAATCAATCGTTATGACGCTTTGTTGCGAACGTAAACAAAACGAAAGCAGCGTGCCATTGCATATTTTAATGAATATGTACGGTACAGAATTGAGTAAGATTTTCGTTAAAGAATTGAAGACGAGAGAAAATCAAACCTTACTTTAGAATATTAATTTGGAAATCTCTTCAATGTCAAAAACCTTATTCGATATACGATGGCCTCGTCTTGTACGCTCAGATTCTCGCCTGAGCTTCGCGCAAATTTGTCACGGTCGCCCGGATTTGCGTGCGACCGTTATGAAAGGCCCGGCGGTCGGTGGCCGACCTTCAGTTTTTGACCAGAAGAGTGAAGCTCAGATCGAGTGAGTGTCGAGCAATGAGTTCCCGCTCGAGAAGACTGAACATCACTCATCTCCGTTCGAGCCTCGATTGTCTCTCGATCAATGCGTCCTTTCCTCGATTGTCTCACGACCAATGCGTCCTTTCCTCGACCCTGTTCGCTCTTTCTACGCTATGACTTTTAGGTCGAGGCACAGTTTATTTACATGTCTGAGCGACCAAGATGTGACCAGCGACTGTGTACGACCTGCGGCGACCAAGCCACGCTCTTAGATCGCAGTTCGTGTTCAGGGACGATTTCTCGGTGAAATAATATGTTGGAGCTTGTGAAAAACTTACTGCTTGGTCCTTGGTCACAATCATCGTATTGACCACCTCGTCTTACACATACGTGTAACTGATTATTCAGAATTAATCCAGAAGGACATGGTACCATAGGAATAGGTTTCCCAAAATCACATCTCCAGAATTCACTACAATTGTTTGGGTTTCGTATCCAGCCAAAGGAACTTGTACAGTGAGGAGTAAACGATTCAATAACAGTACAGCTACCAATGACAATCACTGCAAAAACACTTAAACTTATACTGCACATAATGAAGTCTGAAATAACCAATGGTAATAAGTATATAAACTAATAGATAAAAGCAACTAAGGAACTATAAGAAGGAATGAGAGATAAACGGAAAAAGTCAAAGTTAGACAGAGTAAAAAAAAAATGTACTTTTGATTATAGTCGATGTGCGTCGCGTTTAGCCAAAAACAGACTACAGAACATTCAAACAAATTTCATTCACGTTCAACAATGATTAAATTTAAATAAATAAACAAAAGGATTGAGTCCCTTTCACAAGAGATGCAGTTAAAAAATTTAAATGTAAATAATATTGTATACCTTTTTGTGAGTCGATTAACTGCTAAGACTCCTTAATCGTGGTTAACTCGCCATAAGATAAATATGAAAGCTAACAAGTTCGGATGACAATTTTATAGCAATATAATGTGTAGGAGAAAATTTAAAAAAAAATAGGTGAAAAATTATAATAAAAGGATTTCGTAATATAATAATTCAAAACATCCTTTTCGATACCGGTTGGACTCGATTTAGATCTTCCTACGCAAATGTTTTCTATAAAAATTGATTGTTGGGTGGTTTTTTTCTCGATAAGAGACTGGATGCTGTTCATCCCAAGCAAATATATTAAGTAGTATCTTTGACCTAATCGGTATATAATTAGGCAGTTCAAATGAATGAAACAGATCATCCATGTTTTAAAACATTTTTGATTAAGCTTCAAATTTTTGAATGAAAAAAACAGGTCTTGATCAACGTACAGGAATGTATCAATGGGTATAAGATCATCCAAGCGGAGCCGATAGTGCTGATCGTGTCAGATCGAGACCCAATGGGACCGTCAAGCGAAACAATCCTATTCGATCATATCTACACAAAATTTGACAGCTAAACTTGACTAATCATGAAGAGAGAACAACAAATCGTTTCAGACCAATGGACAAAACCTGTGATTTCAGGAAAATTATACGATCAGCCACGAGTTGGCAGCATTAAGCCGCAAATAGACGAGGTATGGTGAGGGATTATCGAAACAGTAGAAAATAGACCCGGTCCCGTACATCGTAGGCTATTCCTACCTTAGACGTAGCCTACTCTTATTGTATATCACTTTGGTTTTAAAATATCTCATAATCTGTAAGTTACTCAGTCGACTACGCATAGTGTACTCTTGAGACGTTTGACGTATAAGGATGCTTGAAATGATATATTAGTATTTTAGATTAATATCACAACGAAAAGAAATATAGCAAGCCAATCCTGATATTATACGATATTTACCCTATAGAAACATTCGCAATGGTATATCGCCATCAAGTTGATCCTTGTTGATCTGTCAATGAATTATCAAATTACTTCCTTTTACTCATATGTGACGTTTTTTAACACTTCGCCAAATATAAGACTTTGAGAGATTCACCTTGAGAGCAATAATCATTATTGATCTTATTATTGGACCACACGTATCATTTCTAGTGTTTTATGTCACATGTAGGAAGAAAACAGATCTGCGAGAGGTGCGGGTTTAGTCAGAAAGTAATCTAGTTCGGGAAATAAGATTCTAAATTATAGAGGATTGATATACTTATTATAACTATTAAAAACATATTTCCTTCAGCTTGTTGTTTATTTGAGTGTTTATGTATTTGGTAGTTCTATTATATCAAGAAGTTTTGATGAAATAACAATAATACTTTGAAACCTGTTTTGAGAACAATCTATGTTGGTGCTCTTGAAAAGACAAAGCAATAAATTTTGCTAGGGTTTGTGCATTTTCCCTTTTGATTTCCTACTGTAGATGGGTTATTATTTGATAGTGTGGCATAAGTTCAATGAACATATCGGAGCTTCATCAAGCAGTAATACGATGACTCGGTTGAGTCGCATTAAGTCTTCATGGACTGAAAGTGTTTTACTTAACGAACCTCCTCAGAGTCTCATTTGTCATCGATCTACATAAGGAAGAACACCAGTTTGTATCTCGATTTCATAATCATCACCTCCAATTCAGTAGGCTAGTTTGTTCGCTAAGTCTTAAAAGGCACAGTAAGTTTTTGATACTTCTGATAAATAACAAAGTTATAATCAGAAAATTTCTAAAGGAAAGAAATTAAGAAAGAAAGATGCGGGTGGAGTGAAGTTTGTCTGTGTTTATATAGGATATATAGAATACAATAGAAATGTTTTGTATTCAAGTATATTTATTAATATTCACCATGAATATAAAACAATATTGACTATAGGGGTGTTTTATTTACTTCTTATTCAATAATTACATTATATTTTACGTTATATCCGACTAGTCCTAATGCATTTCATAACATCCAAAAATGAAAATTTTACACAGAAATCTCTCATTTAGAATGACGATTCTTAAAATATCATTCTATCAATTTCCAATTATTAAGCAACCAAAAATACAACTTTCCCACTCAACCGAAATATCTTAAAGGTTAATCATGCCATGGAGATATAAATTATTGTTTCTTTGATAAAAGGGTGTAAAAATTATTTTGAAAATAACTTTTAATAAACTGTAGAGAATTTCAGAAAAAAAAACGGACGTCAGATCTTTCAGTTTACAAAAACAACTATCATTCTCAATTTTTTATAAACTGAAACATGTCTTTCTTTCAGATGATCGCCGGAATTAAACAACAAGTTTTTAACCAAAACGTTTTAGGAGGTATAGTGGAGCTGTATGTTTTAGCTTATGTCCAAATGTCGGGAAAGAGTGTTCATCTCATAAGGACAATTTCTACGCAAGGCTATAGATGGAATATATTTGGGAAGAGGGATACGTTGGGAATATCATACTGAAACAGTTTAGAATGTCCCCTGTTCATCACATATCTGGATTACCCGAAAAGACTTGTTATCCCATTTTAAACTACCTGTTAGCATAGAGATTTAGAAATTCGAGATCAAACTGGCTGCATGGGATTGAAGCTTTTTTTTACTGGTTTTAACATTTGCCTATTTAGTTCTGTTCAGAGAAACCGTGAATTACTAAAATTAAATTCACAGACTTTCAAAGGAAAATAAATAATATATAGTTTTTCTCTGAATAAATAATATACTGTTTTTCTCTGAGTGCCAGGTATTACGAAGCGGAACATCGTGGTTAAATATACTTCATTAAGAAAAAGTCGTCACTTACTACGTCTTTGCTCATTATATTGCAATTGCAGATAGTAATATTATGTTGAATTTAAGACTTACCTGTATTGCGTATTTATATGTTGTGAGTATGATTTATAACAGTAACTACTACAGTTGAAGAAATTTAGATCCTATTTATCAAATGTAAATATGTCCACAAACTATTATGTACTCCTTACATTCAACGCACACCTTACAATTGTTTGAAGTCACCTTAGAAACCACACTTTTCTGAATCACGGCAGTATATATCAAGTTATGCCATCACTAAGATGTCGCTATTTGCATAAACCAACCGCCTTTAATTAGTCCAAATTAACCCCTTGAACAAGACTTAGTGTTATTTGCGTTTTGAGTATTATACGAAGTTAAAATAATGAGTATAAAAAGACAATAAAGGTATAAGGGGTGGTATAAGGAATTTATATAATGTTAAATATGTTCATATGCATAGCGACATATTTAATTCTACTCCCCGGTACTAAGATTATATTTATTATGAATTATGTGGTTTGATATTTATTGTCTTTAAAAAAGCTTTTGATTTAATGAAACATTTTTTATTATTAGACAAACTAAAGAGTTAAAAACTGACTTGAAATTTTATAAGATTTATTTAACACAGGTGATATGTTAATGGTACATTATCTCCACACTGTGTGATACCAGATTCCCCAGGGATCCATTTTAGGACCTATTCTTTTCAATATTTTCATTAATGATCCCCCACTTTATTTGAAATCTCACTGTGATTTATTCGCTGATTATACGATTGTCTATTCAAGTAATTTTTCTCTATCTCAACTTCAAACAAATCTTCAACACGAAATGGTTATTTGGTGTAAAATTAATTCAATGATAATTAAAGAAAACAATGTATGCCTATAACCTCTAACCAACGGAGATCCCGTATGAAAATCGATGAACTAAATATTTCAATTAATAATTCCACAATTGAAAATGTATCAAAATCTAAACTTTTGGATGTTGTAGTTAACAATAACATGGACTGGAAAGATCATATAAATCATATCAAAAAGTTATTAGTAGTAAACTTTACCAGCTTACCATCGCTCTGTGTTAAAGTTTATATCAACCTATATTTGATTATTGTAGTCCAATTTGATTCCCAATCTACTAATATTCTAAAGATACTTTTTAAAATAGCATCAAAATTAATTGTAGGAGTCCGCACTAATAAATATGTCATTTTAAAATTCCTGCATAATTTCAATATAATAGATATCTTTTCAAGACACAAACTGAATTCCTTTGTCAAATATATACTGAACAGTTATAGAAACGTCGCATTTTTAGATTATTTATTTATTGCTCATGGCACGTCTAACCTCTCAACAACGTGAACACGCCATCGGACGATTAAATGCCGGACAACGTGCTCTAGTCATTACCAATGCATTTAACTTTATGTACGAACAATTGAGAGACTTCGGATTCGTTACAACTCCACTAACATGACTAATGGCCGTCCACGTAGTTTCCGAGTCACAACACAAAGACAAGATCGCTATATCCTGTGGTAACATCTGCATGACAGATTCACAGACAGCTCGTCAGACCATTGGCCACCATCAGCAACCCATCAGTGCTGATACCGTTCGAAATCGTCTCGCCTTCCAGAACCATACAGGGGTCCGACGCTCACTCCCCATCATCAGTAACGTCTTGCGTGTGCCAACCAACGACAACATTGGCCTATTCACATATCGCCTCTTCCCATTTTGCCCCTTCTTAATTTGCCCCCAATTGATTCCCATATCGCCCCTTTTTAATTCGCACCCAACTGATTCCCATATCGCCCCTTCTTAATTTGCCCTTCCTAATTCGTCCCAAATTTATTTTCATTTCGCCCTTCCCAAATTGGGAAGGGGGTGCTATGGGAAAGTCGGGGGGGCGGGGGGGGGGGGGGGGGTCGTAGGGATGCCTCTGGAATTATACCCACCCCTCATTCCCTAAACAAATTCTCACAGTAAAAATATTCAAGATGGCAAGCAACATTGACAGCAAGACAAATATATAATTTTTTCCAGCGTTTGAAATTTTCTAACAAATTGTTCAATAATCAATGTACTGGATAATTGGGAAGTTAACAAGTAAACATGCAACTCAGTTATGCCGATGGTCATTTATTTTAGGCAATTCGTCAAGCGAGTTGATACGATTTGCTTCAAAAAAAGCCTTAAGTATCAGAAGGACACTAAATGCATGCATTGGTTTGTTATGAATGCACGTTCTCCTTCAACCAATGAGTAACTATATGAACAGATACGTAGTTTGCAGTCGACACACCAGGGGATGACTTCGATTGGAGTTTCTAGGTTATCGAGTCACAACCGAACTGTAATATTTAATAGAGATTAGACCCCTGAGACGTAATATTTGACCTATTTCTTCAAATTTTGAGATTTAAAATGAGCGCAACAGTTTAAAGTGTCATCATATTGCCTAAACTCGATCGAATTTGATTTTTACTCTCATTCTACATGTGTAGGCCTACGGTTGATAATTACATCATTCCCATAACTCATTCCATTAATTTTAGCTCGACCACAGAGTTTCAATCTAAGTCACCCTGGGAGACACAGTGCTGACACACAGATTTACAGTTGATAAACACGGCGGGTTTGAGGGCCTCAGAACCAGACCGGTTTGTTGGTTGGTAGATGACAAGTTAACGTTCGCTTCCAGCGGATGCTGATATCGCAATCTAAGAACCAGACCGGATCATCCCACATTTTTATACGCCCACGTGAAATTGGGGCGTATATTGTCGTCACCCATGTCCGTCCGTCCACCCGTCCACAATTGCTCGTAAACTACAATTGACAGAAACGCTGGTTTCTTGGTGTTTTTGAATATCGGCCAGTTTCGACACGTAACTGTAAATTAGTTAAGTAGATATCGTATATAATAAAAATAAGATAAGAAACTTTCTTGTTCATGTTTCAGTTTAAAATGTTTATATAAAACTAATTTGTTTGAAGAATTAATTTCTGAAAACCATTGTTGCTTATAATGGTCAAAAATGCGTGAGCGAATAATACCAAAGGAGCAGGTATTTATAATAAATTGAAAGTCCCACATGTAATTTAAGCCCAGATCATATAGTAAATTTCTTGCCCAGTTCTGTTTACCCCTGTCACAATCATTCTTAAGCTCCCGATAAATATTAAATAATATTGCTGAAGAACAATTTAAAATCTTAAGCCAGTATTTACAAATTCTAATTTTTCTACAAATAGGTAACAAACCAGTTTACCCAATAAGGCGCATATATTTGAACTAAATCTTACTTTTAATAGTTTTCGCATGAACTAGTTTTCTACTTTTTCAACATCCTTTGACAAATTGAACCCCCAGACTTCACTTTCATACATTAGAACAGACTTAACTAAAGAATCATAAATTTTCAATTTACAGTCAATATATATATTTAACTTATTAAAAATGAAATATAATGAATACAAAGCTTTTCTAATCTGATCATGTAACCGTTTCTGTGAAGCATTAAAATGACCATTGTAATTAAGAAGAAATTCCATTTCGTACAGAAAAAATAAAATAAATCTAACAGACGTTGTAATTCTTTTGGACACTTGCAGAATAAAACCGTATCATCGGCAAACATTAAAATAAATAAGATTCTATATCTTACAACACAAAAATCATTTATCTAAGTTTCAGGTATAAATTAGTTTCAACGTCATACATAAAAAGTAAAAACAATATAAGAGACATTGATTCGCCTTGTTTTACGCCCATTTGGCATTTAAAACTACCAGATATGTCATCATTTACTCTAACGTGTATCTTAACAAATTGGTGAAGATTAATAAATTATGTTAAATCTTATCAAAACAACATTTACGGAGATCTATAAAACTAGCATACAATTTATCACTGTTTCCCAGTGTTTGCGTAATCAGATTTTGTAAATTAAAGACAGCATTAACAGTGGTACGATTTTTTCTAAAACCGAATTGACAATCAGGAATATTACCAGTAGATTCAGCCCAGTTGGTTAATCTAAATTTTAATACAAGGCTTTAATAACAATGCGAAATTCGATATTAATGCTATTCCACGATAATTATCGACTGAATCCGGGTCACCTTTCTTTGATACTGGAAGAAATAATGCTTCAGACCATTTCGATGGATAACAATCAGTTGTGAAAATTGCATTAAAAAGTTTTGTAAGAATTGGTGTAAAAATTTCTGCACATGCAATAAAAAATTTACAAGGTATGCTATCAATTCCATAGCTTTTAACCTCTTTTCAAATTTTTGATTACGTTCAATACTTCAGCTTCAGTAATATCATCACCAATAACCGGTATACTTGGACAATCATTACGGTCAAAATTGTCATTCTCATGGGACTGGAGCCGTTTAGTCGAACTCATCTTTAAAATAATTATAGAAGTCACTCAAGCCGGGCCTCCACTTGAGAGTTTTATAGCACGAGTTCGTTCGCTCTCCGAGAGTAACTCATGAGTGGACGGTATTTTATGAGCAACTGTTGGACAGTCGCAACCAACTCTCAATAGAACTGCTGGGAGTGATTTCTCTGAAGTGGAAGGGGGTCTTCTATAAAATGTCGGGCATTCGAACCCAGATTTCTGTTTGAGAGTGCTCTCAAAGAATAGAATAGTGTTCTATTTCTGCGAGAACTGTCAGCTTTTTATTAACAGGCCTGTCTTATTTTTCACAACACTTGGAGTCTGAAATATGTCGAAACGTGCGGAATGGACGCGTGAAGAGACTGAGCACCTCATCACATAATATGAAACTCGTCCTGTGCTTTGGGATGTTTAATCGACTGAGTTTCGAGACAGGCAGAAAAAGAACGATGTATGGCCGAATCGGTACAAAAAGACATTGTGCACTCTTTTTCTCTGTTTTGTCTTTCCATCGATCATAATTATAGCCGCAGCAATTAGTTTTTTCTTGGACAACAACATTTTCAAATCAGAAGTCAGAAATCAGAAATCAAACTGGCAAGATGTCGTGCAACTCGCAACTCCTTCCCACGAATGTAATTTGTCTTTCAGGTGGAAGGACACTTGAAAGTTTCTTGCACAAACTCTCTGATAGTTACTCGCAATAAAATTTACTCTCAATTGCTCTCAAATAAAAATAACACTGACAGTTCTGCCGCGAGTGACTCGCGAAGGCTCGCAGAAAAAACTCTCAAGTGGACGCCCGGCTTAAGAGTTGGACAACTGGATGAGTTCTTTCCCTTCGAGCATGTTTAATATGTGACCAAATATGCTTTGGATTATCTTTGGCAAGATTTGACGATTTTTAACTCTCTGATATATCGAAATTGCTCTCGGAAATTTTTTTAACAGCATTATAATTTGATCTAGCTACAATAAATGGACTTCAAGTGTTTTCACATTTATGCCTATCTCTTAACTCTAAATTCTTCTTTAGCATCACTGCATTCTTTATCAAACCACTTATTGTTAACGCTATTTTTTATTTTGGTTTTTGAAATATTTTTACCATAAAGTTTGTCAATTATTACATTAAACTTAACAGTAATCAGATCAACGAACTCATCAGTACATTCAGGACGTAATGTCACATGAGTTGATCTGATGTGGCCTGTAATATTGCAGTACTCGACGCGCCTATATCTGACGACAAAGGTCATCTCTTGATTAATCAGAATGGCGGACTACTACAGTGATAGTTCAAGCGATGGCGAATATTATAAAGGCAGGAGTAATTTTGCCATAATTCAACAAAAATTATCCTCAAGGCTTGTTTCTGTCACTACTTCACTGGGCGACGCCATCTTTCGAATACCAAGTACGCATGCGCGTTGTGTTCGTCGTCTGAGAAAATCGCGCACGGTTATCCGAACACGATAGATATTTTCCACACGACCGCAAGTGGCCAAATGCACACTAAAAATAACTCGCACACGAAGCGCTGATAGTCGAGCGTAATATGTTTACATATTAGTGGTAGTAAGAAATGATCAATGTATTCTGACACTGCTGAGACTCACTACCACAGTCAGTTATAATCGGGCGACTTTTAGGAATTCTATTAGGGATAAACCACTCCTTGGTAGGATTCCTATGGGTCTTAGGCAAAGTGTATAAATGTTTCCCAAGACAATCAGGTTGGCAAACAGATAGTCATATTGTTTCTGGTTGAGATAATTTGGTTTGACTAAATTTCCCAAGAATATTGTTAATCATATTAGCAGTTATAAAATGGTTCCAGCAAAATGGCATAATGTTTAGGATTATTCAGTTGACTCACTGCTTCTAAAATGTAATCCTTCCTATTCAGAATGACACATGAACCTTGTCAATGCTATCGTCTTTCTTAAGTAAGTTTAACGCTTCACTTTCTAGGTTTCTCGTTCATTATGTAAAGATTTGCTGCTGGCTATTCATACTTGCAATTACTTTCAATATTTCAGGATAGATGGCGTCCTGGGGTGGTTTCCACTTGGATTTAGAAATAAACTTTGTTCTAGCACTCATGTGGAGGGTGGTTTAAAAAATATATATTTGCAGCTGAGTTTACGTTGAAATCGTTCCATAGATGTTCGAAGATAATCAAGGTTGGCTACCTTCAGTGTCGGAATAAACTTAAGTTCATGGTCTAAGATTGAATGCTGAAGGGTTGTGAGAATTTTGTGGCTCAAGTTAACTACAGTTGTGTTCTAACGATAGCCTCTCGGTATTTTTATCCCTAGTTTAAAGACTTACTCGATGCTTGAAGATGGCGTATCCAAAACAAATAATTGCTGTTTCCCGAGACCAATGAAGATTTTCTGGTCCGAATTCTTCTTCGTAGGGTTGTTTGCGTCGTTGGTATTGGAATTTATCATCATTTTGTTGAGGGTCTTGAGATTCTGTTAGAGACAGGTACACATGTGAAGATGATCTTGGAGTTAGGGAAGGTTTGGCGATTAATTTCTGGGCTAGATTGAATGAGATCTTTGCTAACTGGTCGCGGTTGTTGAGGCCTACAGCAGAATGACGGTAGCTGGTTTGGGATCAGAGAGATTCAAGGATTGACTGGATTTGGGCACCAGGGTACGCATGTATTTCGGTGTCTGAAGTAGTTTTGTCAATTCGGCTCAGGTAGAGAATCCAATAATTAAGGTAGAGCAGGTATATTCCATGATGATTTGTCCATGGTTTGGTGATATAAGTGTTAGGTAGCGGATATGATGGTTGTCGTCGTGATTGGTACTGGTTTGGTAGTCTTTAGAAATGCAGCATTGGGTACGGACTGAGATCTGGTTTGAGGAGGGTCACATGGTGAAGATTCAGATGGAGGAGTATAGCCTCTGGGACTATGTTATGGACATATTATGAGCCTATCAGTTTGAGGATATCAAAACTTTGACTTTAACTTTCTTTGACTTTGGAACTTTCTAGACCATAAACTTTTCACAGGAAAAGGAAGTAGACTTTCCAGCAAACAAATATTTAAACAATACTAGATTAACCAGCCTCTAATGGAGGTTAGAAGTCTGTTATGTTGGTTATAATGCCCAGTAGTGATGTTTGTCAGCTTTGACTATTGATTCACTATTAAAGATGCATACTTGAACTAACAAGGAGGAAGGGGTATCTGAAAGAGAAAAGAGAATAGGATGCCTCTCTACGTGAACATTTACCTACGTCTGGCGGACTAGGAGTTGGTGAATTTCGGGCTCGTTTAGGGGTTTGGTTCGATAGGGTGGTGACTCTAGTTGATGTGGGTGTATGTTGATCAATATCCATTTCAGTTGGTTGGGATATGGTTACTCTGGCCTTGGTTTCGTTGATGGTTTGCTAAAATTTGGTGATTACAGAGGCTGCGTCACCTTAGAGAGCCATGTCCGATTGAGGGATCTAATATTCCCATCTATAGCTGATGGTTTATCATTGCTGGGCGGATAAAATGATCAAACTCAGAGACTTTGCGTTTGAAGGTAAACGTTGGTTGACCTTGCTACTAGAAGGTAAGGATTGCCAAATGATGAAGACACTGCAAAACTTGGAAGAACCCCTTCACAAATGGTTCTTTCTCTTCATGAGTGGTTGGCGTCGGTGGGCTGGTGGTCGTTTCTGTTGTTGGTTAGGTCCGTAGTTATCTCTGTGTGGGTAGGCTGTTGGTATGTCGGCGATGGAGTGGGATATAACTAGTTATACAGGACCGTTGTAGTGTACGTGAGGTTGGTTTGGTTGACGATTAGTGTTACGATGTCTGGCTTCTTGGTGTGGTTGTTTCTAGTTGCGGAGCATAATGAAAATGAATCGGCATTCCGATGTTCCAAATATTTCTAAAGCTATCATGCTCTAATTAGGCTGAAATGAATTATCAAAAAAATATTAAGACTGGATGTCCGTCATATTTAATAATTAGTCGCCATATTTGCATGCGGTCAATGATCAATTGAGAGAGCACCAGCTCGATCAAGTTATGTTCCTTGAACGACGCCTATCGGCTACTCTGTTTTGGAAGATTACCGACCCGACACCCAGCTGATTCAGAGTACCAACAAGCACGAGAATGCAGTAGGAGCAAGAGCACACGAAAGAAAACCAACGACATACCACTCACCATACAGAATGTTTTGTGCTCTCTCCCACTAGTCTATTTTTTGTTGGGGTTGTTGCTACACTACAAAATTTGTGGAGATAATATTCACACTTCTTATAATATCTTATGATGTCATGGTGACATATACATATTTTTTGTAAACAGGGTGAATATTGTAGATCTTTTTATTAGGCCTATGGGCTTATACAAATTAAATAGGGCATATCGAAGGATTTCACAATATCTTTCGTGTCGAATGGCTGTATTTGAGCTGTTTTATTATGCTACCCGGCCTATCGAATACCAATTTTTGCTAACAAGTAAAGTTGTGTTTTCAACATCCTACAGTAACACATCTTAAGTCATGCACTTTTAAAATTTTATTTGAGCATAGTTTGTAGTCGCATAGTACATAGTAGTGCAGTAACTTTGGCCTTATACTTTTACGTCGAATCAAACTCGGCCGTTACATTAGTTCAGGAAAGTGGAAAATTACATATAGCAATGTTTACCAATAATTTTCGAAGAAAAATACATTTATAAACTAGAAATATCATTTGAAGTACGTCGACTTCCTTATAGATATCTAGACTATGATTGATTCGGCATGTGATTGAAAGACTGTTCATTACAAACGTTGTCAGCATATATAACTGTAAGTATAGATTTTTGGACAATAAATGAAATAATTATGTGGACAGATCTACAATATTTTAAACGAACATTTTGCTATGGACGTGTGATTTTATTTAATTTCAAAATAAAGGTGTATGTTTGGATTCTGGGAGAGAAACTGCAAGCTACCAGTACTAAAAGCAATATACCTATAGGGCTTCATTTTGATTTTATACGTTTGAGCAAGAAAAATTATTTCTGTCAACGGCCGTTATAAAAAAAAAGACCAAGGGTAATAACGCTTGTCTTTGACCAATACTTTTGACTTTGATCTTTCCCAGATTATCTGCACCGATTTACAACTGGATCGACTAGAAATAGACTGTGGAATGTAAGTATATACTAGGTAGGCGACTTTCTTTCAGTGGGATCCTAATAAATTGCTGTTACATTTTCAGACCAATAATGAACTCATCACAAAAGTTTGAAGAGGAGTTCTTAAGTTGTGGCATTTGCTATGACATTTTTAAAGAACCAAAAGTTCTTCCATGCCTGCACACATTTTGTCTAACCTGTTTAACATCTTATATCTCGACAACCAGAATCCTCGACAACAGAACTGGATTTCTTTGTCCAACATGTAGAGAGCTTATCCATCCACCACGACCTTCAGACAGCCATTGGGCAAAACAATTTAGAGATAATTTCTACGTGAAAAATCTGATAGATGCTAATTCTAATCAACAAGTTCCAGGATCAGTCGCAAACCAGAAGCTATGTGAGTCTCATAATTCTCCTTTACAGCTATATTGTGTAGATTGTGATAAAATAGTATGTGTACAGTGCTCAGTTGTGTCGCATCGAACATGTCGTCAAATCATACCCGTTGAAGTAATAGCCACAGAGAAACGAGCAGAACTTATGACCTACCAGTCATCACTTCAAAATCAAATATCGAAGATTGCTGATAGTTTAACAGAAGCTGAGAGAGAGCAACAAAATCTTGAGTTTCAAAAGGGTGTATTGAGTATATCGATAAAAAAGAAGGGAGAGGAAATGTCTAAACTCGTGGCTCTTGAAACAGCTGCCACACTTTCACGCCTTGACGGAGCAATTAGTGCTAGTCAAGTTGAACTACAAACCGATGTCGACCACAAACAGACTCTAATGACAAAATTGGGTGATGTTTCAAATTCTATTGTTAAACTTATAAATACGCCAGATTCCTATATTTTTGATAATTTTGATTCTGTTCTGAAAGATCGTGAAACTGTTTTGGAGGAGTTACCTAAAAAGATTGAAATTCCCGTGTTTCAAACAGAATTTAAGGAAAGTATTTGTCCATCCTCTATTATAGGGGAAATAATTAAAATGTCAAACATGCGTACCTTATGTAAGTTCTCAATGTATGTCCCGGTGCCATCCGTCGCTCAGGCAAAACTGCTATCTGAAGAGTCACCATTTATTAAGAAATACAAATCCCTGAAAATTATCTCAGAAATAAGTTCCAAAACTAAAAATGATAATTGTAAAGCAAGTTTTAGAGATATATGTGTAGTATCTGGTAATATTATAGTTGTTACTGATTACGCCAATAAGAAAATCAAGTCCTTTTATAGACACGGAACATCATTTAAAGAAAGTGCATCGGCTGTACCAGCTGCTCCTCACAGCATTGTTAAAATTGGTAGTACCGATATCCAAATCGCGGTTACTTTACCTGCAGCCAAACAAATTGCTATTGCTACCATATCCCCCGCTGTAATAATAGACAAACTTATAAAAACAACTAAAAAGTTTTGGGGAATCACCACAATAGGGGCTACCAGTTTCGCAGTATCGACGTGTTCCGGGTCGGAACCAGGATTAATAGTAATCATGGATACAGATGGCAATGAATTGAAGACCTTGTCCAATTCTAGGCGTTATACATCTAACCCCCTGTATCTCACCACACTTTCCTCTGGAAATCTCGTAGTTTCTGATTGTACTATAGGGCGTATAGTAAAATTACGACCCAATGGCGAGGTGTTATCTGTAAACGACAGATTCAACAATATTCTAATATCACCAATGGGTATATGTATAGATCAGAATGATTGTTTGATTGTAGCGGATAACAGACACCTGACTATACTGAATGAGGCTGGCCAAGTGAAGAAGCAAATGGATCTCAATTTGCCCAAAGGTCAAAAATCTCGAAGTGTGTATGTATCAGATGAAGATAAAGTCTATATTATAACAGAAAACAATCAAATATTGTTGTATACGCCATTTTGAAAGTATACATATCAATATAAGATGTACATAAACAAAAATCTTGCCTTATGCTTGTTTGAATTATTTTTAGCTTCAATAGTTATCCCAATTTTAAAATATATATTTTACTTATACCTTATATGGAAAACCCACAATATAAGTATTAAGCCCTATTTATCCACCTGAGATTAATAGTGTGTAGAATTTATTTCAATTGTACAACCTGTGTTTTTCTATTTCTGTCATGTATTACTACATTGAGTGAGGTCAAGACTAAGTGTTTATAGTGTTGGATTTGTGCATAAGTGTAGCACTAGTGTATCTAACTCGAACCCTTTGACCTCGATGCAAAGTGTTGCATGGTGACATATTGTGACACTATTTTTAATATAGTGGTACTCTAGTGTTCCACTAATCCCAACTCAGCGTTTCAAAACACTGGCTTAGCATGCGTTTCCATATCCCTTTTATACTAACCCTTAGAGGTTTACACGATGCAGAGCTCAAGATGACATAAGTGTAATTTACTCTAACGCTGGGTTGGAACACTGTCATTTTGTGTCAGTGGAATAGCTCAGTCGGTAGCGAGTTGTATTGTCGTCTGCTAGGCTATTAGGTACCGTGTGTTCGAATCCTTCTCAGAAAAAGAAGAAAGATTCTGATGCCTGTGCTTTCGAGAGTCGGTTCGGTGTCGGCTCTCACCCCCTAATTCCTAATACTAAGTCTTACACTCAGTTCTGACCTCAATCATTGTGAAGAACATGATACGATGGCTAACATAATGTGGATAACGTGGATAATGATGACATATTACTGATTTGTTTTAATTATTAGGCATTTGTTTTACATCTATTAAGTATTTGTTTTGTATTATAAGCTTTTGTTTTACATATTAAGTATTTGTTTTACATAAAAGGCATTTGTTTAATAAGTATTTGTTTTGAATAATAGGCATTTGTTTAGTTTATAAAACACACGAGTTGCCGAATACGTATTGAGACATCTTGGTGGACAAGATTTACAAGCGTCCTTTCCCAGCTGTCCACCGTTGGCACCCCAAGTCGTTACAATTAGTCGTAATCGCCAGTCGCATTTTATTCACCAGTCGTCGTCGGTTTTTTTCCAACTAGTTGAAAACCCTTATGCAAGTAATTGTAGAATAAACATGGTGTTTTTTACTTTTTGTTGCATATCTTTCTGGAAAGTTAAGTTTAAGGGTCCTCAAGAGAAGGTGTCCTTTACTGATTTTGAATCAACAATCAAGCTTTTATCATGCAGGGAATATATAGTATTGAACTATTAGTTCCATTTTGCATCATAAATTAAATGCTTATCCTTAAAAGCACCAAGTTCCTTTATTGAACAGATGAATACATTCAAGTATGGAAACTATTATGCATATATATTCAACCCTCTAACCAACCCTCCAAAATGGTGCAACTGTCCCTTTAAACTGGTTTCACAAATTTTAATTATGTTGCCTTTCGTGTTGCTTCTGCTTAACCTATTGGACACTCCCCACCAATGGTGGACTATTGTCGGGATGAAACAACATGCAACATGACTAGTGATTATGGATCGTATTTTTATTTTATAATCCTTAAGCGGCCGAGATCGCGTTGATCGTTGAAAGTTATGGACAGATAACTCCATTGTTTTGGCTTTCTTCAATGGCTCTGAGTAAAGAGGACAAACAGCAATCCGGCTGCTTGCATAATTCGGACTCAATTATTGCGTCTTCGAAACCGAATCGAGGGTTCATTTTGAATTTTATAGACGGACATATTAAAGAAATACAGGTATGAGTAAAGATAATTATATGCATTAACCTTATCGATTCTGCGTTAATCTATAAATAGTTTCTTACTACAGACAACAGCCAAAGTGTAGCCTATAATAAAAAAAAACAGCCGTAGTATATAGACTCATTCCACTAATTCATTTGCCATCTCTTTCCATGATAAACGAAATTCAACCTCTACAACTTCTTTCAGAAATCTCGTTGAAAGCTTTCCAATGAATGAAAGCCTGACCAATCTGTAATGTCTAAAAAAATGAATATTATGATGACCATAAAAATTTTGAGCTACTAAAATTGAAAGTAGACTACTACCGGTTATACTCATCCGTCCACTAGAGTTTGACACTTCACAAAACGACTATTTTTAGAACTATTCTTCCGCCTTTAGGTCTCTCATTATCTCACCAAATCTTAAAGATAATGCAATTTTAGAAATTAAATTCCAAATTTAGACCATAAATTACTCATAAATAGGCATGCAAAAACCCTAAGAGGGAGAGAGGAGGAAGACTTCTAAAAATAGAATCCTATATGAGACCAAATATAAGAAACATGAACACTTACTGTAATTAAAGAGTTTATTAAAATGCAAACAACCGTAATTGAAATGACAACATATTTGGATGGTAGACTTATTAGTTCAAATTATGAATAGAATGACAATAATGATAACTAGAACATAGCCATAATAACTAGAACATAACCATAGCAACTATAACATAGCCACAATAACTAGAACGTAGCCATGATAACTAGAACATAGCCATGATAACTAGAACATAGCCATGATAACTAGAACATAGCCATAATAACTAGAACATAGCCATGATAACTAGAACATAGCCATAATAACTAGAACATAGTCATGATAACTAGAACATAGTCATGATAACTAGAACATAGCCATACTAACTAAAACGTAGCCATGATAACTAGAACATAGTCATGATAACTATAACTAGAACATAATCATGATAAATAGAACATAACCATGATAAATAGAACATATCCATGATAACTAGAACATAGCCATGATAACTAGAACATAGTAATGATAACTAGAACATAGTAATGATAACTATAACTAGAACATAACCATGATAAATAGCACATATCCATGATAACGAGAACATATCCATGATAAAGAGAACATATCCATGATAACTAGAACATAGTCATGATAACTAAAACATAGTCATACTAACTAGAGCATATCCATGATAACTAGAACATAGTCATAATAACTAAAATAAAACCATGATAACTATAACTAGAACATAATCATGATAAATGGAACATAACCATGATAAATAGAACATATCCATGATAAATAGAACATAGTCATGATAACTAGAACATAGTCATACTAACTAGAGCGTAGCCATGATAACTAGAACATAGTCATGATAACTAGAACATAGCAATGATAACTATAACTAGAACATAAACATGATAAATAGAACATAACCATGATAAATAGCACATATCCATGATAACTAAAACATATCCATGATAAATAGAACATATCCATGATAACTAGAACATAGTCATATTAACTAGAACACAGCAATGATAAATAGAACATAATCATGATAAAAAGAACATAAACATGATAATTAGAACACAGCCATAATAACTGGAACATAGCCATAATAAATAGAACACAGCAATGATAAATAGAACATATCCACGATAAGTAGAACATAAACATGCTAATTAGAACACAGCCATGATAACTGGAACATAGCCATACTAACTAGAACGTAGCTATGAGTCGTAAACATCAGTTTTTGTAGATTCTACCTCACATTACAAAATCAGCCACAACGATAGGGTCCGGTAGTATATATTTACGATTTATGATGTTGATACTGGGATGTCAATAAGTATATACATGTAGTATATTATATGCTATATTTTTAGTGGATGCTGTATGGTGTTGGAGCAATCGCTGCTGTTTTAATTATCAGAGACATTTACGCTGTAAGTTTTTTGTGTACCAGGGTTATATTTATTTTTTTTTTTTTGGGAGGTCTATTCTAAATATAGACCTTTGCAATAATGAACTTAGCTTATCTATTTCTGATGCTGTATCATAAATCAACATAATCCAGTGGGTTACTTCGATAAATTGATTGACTCTTTTTCAATAGCTCTAGCTCTTTTTTTCATTGTCGGAAACCAGCAATTAAAAATGATTGAACGGTAATGTAGTTAATTATATTCGTGACAACCGAGATGGGTGTAATTTTACAAATCTCGGTAGCCTAATACAACTTGCTGGTAATATGTAGCTTATGTTCTGAATGTCCTGATCAAACAATTCACTTTCGATGCTTAAACAAATTCGTCTATATGTAATTTTTTATTTAAACTGTTTAAAGACCATTTTACTTAAGTTTAAACAGTTCAAGAAAGCGTCAGAGATCCCAGACCTATTTATCAGAAAGAATGTAACTCTTCAAGGAAAAGTTATTTCCGTACGTGCTGAAGATGATATTTCTGGTAAAATTCCCGTTCTTTTAACAAAACACCAACAGTTGCTGAGAACACCTTCATTTTTAAAGAAAGATGCCAACGGTAAGTATTTAATTCTTGATCAGTAATATGCGCTTAAATTTATATTCATATTGTTTTTCTGATTGATAAAATAAAAATAGTTTAAAGCAAATGTGATGTTCATTTGGATAGTTTTGGAAAGATGGTTTGGATGATTTGTTTTGGCATCATATATATGGACCGATAAAAGAAGCTGAACCAAACGCATGAAAGGACGTGCAAGTGTTATCAACAAATCATCTTAAAATGCTTCTCAACTCTGAACTGCGATATAATTTTATTTCAGAATTGAATTATTTACCAGTTGTATTGGCCGGTATATGCTCCTCTCCGTCAGTATTATCGTGGTTAGATATTCATGTTAAACATCAGCATATTTGGTTTAAAATGTTAGAGAGAGGTGATGGAAGGATTGATTCTGTGGTCTCTTTTCGAAAGGTATAGATAATATGATGAAGATTCTATTAGTATTTGTATTTTTTTCTTAATTCGGTCCAAAGTTGACCAACACGTTATGTTAATGGCCAAGCTTTTTGTCAAACGGTTAGAGATCTCTAGCTATAACAAGAGACCATTTTCAATCCATCCCTTGAGCATTGAAAACTATGGCAAGTTCGGCAATCATCATAGCAATAGATAAAGCTCTGCTATGGCGCTGACTGGCGATGCGTGGTATTGTTTTAAGATTTCACTTTATTGAACTCCCCTTATGACGTTTTATTGATAGGGATGGAGGAAAGTAAGAATTAACGAAGAACTCATCAAAAAGGGAATAGGGCAAGTTTATCATTATGATAAGTTACCACTCAATAAACCCTTTGAGAGCTTTATTTTAAAACTTCTGAAACTAGAGAGTCATGCTGTTCACCGCGGTACTGGCATGTGGAAAGAGGATCTACCGGATTACTGGACAAGAATATCAAAATGGTGCAAGTCTCAATGTCATCGAATGTTCAAGAAAAGGAAAAGGTGATCATACATAGTGACCTTGCTCCGTCTTGCTCTACTTATGTTTGCTGAACAATTTCTACTGACTTGGCTAAATGGAGCTTGGAAAAACGGTGTCTTTAATCCTTCGACTACTCAGACAGTCCGGCAACTTATTTTGAGGTTTGATATTCGGGAATATATTAATGACACTAGTTGCAATAAAAAGTTAAAATGTTCTTATCAGGGATGATGAAACAAAACAATAAATAAATCTTTCCATTTTTCAATGTTGAATATTGTGACTATTTCTATCATAAGCCTTTTAAGGTTTAGAGTTTCACCGACGGGCTGTGGGCACACGAGGAGACAAAAATCTCAAGTCGGATCATGCAATTGAAAGGGAAGTGAAAAGTCTTCCCACTGATTTTAATTTTTAATAATTTAATTTCCTCAGTCCGAACGCTCGAGGGCTTTTCCCTGTCAGCCCTTCTGACCTGCTTCGCTCAGTCACTGTCAGGGGGAATGTTGATTAAAACAATCTGAGGGTATCAGTATCAGAAAAATTCCCTATTTGAGTAATTGTTTAACTCAACATTTCTATCAAAAACACAACATGAAACATTTGCAAATGAATTTATTTGAAAAACTGAGGGATCTCGAAAGTGAAATGTTTTCGTCAAAAGGATAGGGCCTAACCTTATCTAGAAAATTTATAAACCAACCTTTTTTTCATGCGATTTCTGAAAATGGTGTCATTGTCAATGTTCAGTAGACCTGGAAATAAATAAATGTAGTTTCATGAATCTTTTATTGGTTTACGTAACCATTAGCGATAAGATATAAATTTTTGGTGGTGACAATGAAGCCAAACTTGTTCTATGCGAAATTATTGATCGACAGTCTGGAAGGAAGAGTGGGGTGGGATGAGGTTACAGTTAATAAAATTAGCCTATTTTTATTTATAGATAGTGTGGACTTTCCACATGTCCAAAATATGGACTCCGTGTAGTTTATTTTAGATCTTGATAAGAGGATGTAACAAACAAAACTGATTTAAAAGTCTACGTCACAGTAGGAGGAGTTGTCACGAGATACTATTGTCAACAAACCGATAGTGAACAGCTGTTCAATCGGGCCAGATCTACTCAATCCTTACTTTGTCGTTTTTGGTGAATGTGAAAAGGTGATCATGTTGAAGTTGGTATTATATTTCTTTTCAATTTTCTCTTTTACTGATATTGTGAATAATGCATTGAGTCTTCCAGAACATTTTGGACATTCAAGGTTTTTATCTGTGAATACGCTGCATCCCAAAAATACAAACTTTACATACTTCACATTTACTCAAGCCTGGCCCACTACCGTATGTTTACAAGGGGAAGAAGAACATCATAAATGTAACAGAGTTCTAAACGTAACGGGATGGACAATTCATGGATTATGGCCGTCAGGAGGTTCAAGCAAAGAAGGGCCAGAAGAATGCAACAAAACAGCTGAATTCAACTCATCTGCTGTGGCACCATTATTGAAAGAGTTACAAATGTATTGGCCAAACTTGTACATTGATACAGCTGCTAACGGCTTTTGGGAACATGAATGGTTTAAACACGGAACATGTGCAGCTAGTGTAAAACAGACTGCCAATGAGTATTTATACTTCTTACAAGGTTTGACACTTTACAAAGAAATAAACCTTACAAATGTGATGGCAGAAGTAGGAATTGTGCCAGATGATGACAAACAATATGATGTATATAAGATATTAACAAGTTTAAAGAACAAATTAAATGGAATAGAACCCGTTATAAGCTGTTTTAAAAGTAAACGTGATGGGAAGTTTTATTTGGACCAAATGGAGATTTGTTACTCCAAAGATTTCGAAATGGTGGACTGTACACAACAAAGAACAAATACGCTGACTTTCAGGTCGCTAAAAGACATCTTAAAACCTGAAACCAGTGATAGACATTTACAAAATTGTCCTAAAGAAGGTTTTGTATACTATCCAACAGTTCACGGCACTGTTTAAATACAGTAATAAATCTTTCTGCCTACCTCACATCTTAACATTGCCCCGAAAACAAAGCATGTTTGATACTCATGATAACCGAAAGAAACCAATTGATTGTGTCAAGTTTGTATATGAGAAAAATGTATATGAAATAATTAGAATATTAATTATCTCAATCTACATTAATATACCTCTATAGCACCATGTACACAAATATCCAAAATGTTCATAAAGCCTTTATTTATTATATAGACCACCTTATTGAAATATTAAAAACTTTACACCTCATGTTTATATTCTAATGTCATATTTGATTAATGTACAATTCTATCTTATGTTTTTGTAGTAAGATAAAATATGAAATATTTTCAGTTTCTGTAAAATCCCCTTTAAGTATTAGTAATATAATTTCCAATAAAAACAATTGTAGCATGCAAGGAAAAGCAGCATACATTTGTGACATTAAAGATCTTCCAAACTAAACATAGCATGGGTAGAAAATGGGAGGCATTGGAAGGACGTGTCAGCAATAGTATTTCAACATCCCGTTGCTGCCAAATTTCCAAGCATAAGTAAACTGGCATCGGTTCAATTATTTGGACTGGTTGAACCAAGTCAACGGGTCCCAACCCCTTTGTGCCCCTCCCTAAAAAAATTCAAATATTAAAAAACATGTATAACTTAAAGTTTAACCTACAATATAAAATGGTTCACAACTTATGTTAGGTTCCTACCGAGGGCAATAGTATTAAAAAAAAATGTCAGCCATGAGAGCCCTTACATGAAAATTACTAAGACATTTAATGTAAATGGTAGCATAGTACTGGTGTTTTTAGTCTTTGGACAGCCTCCGACTACCAGTACACTCCAACAGATCATTTACGGGCATTAGATTGACTTACAAAGTTTTTTTTTTTTAAAATCGCTAGGGAAGGAGCCCCAACCTACTTAAGTCCACGGGCCCACATTCAACCAGTTGGCCACTGTAAACTAGACACCTGCCATTTCCTACCACATATTTGGTGGAATGTGGGTTAAGCATGGTTAAAGAAATGTAACTGATGAGCGAGGTTATCTACGACTAAAATTGACTTCATTCACCCCGAATATACAAAATCGTGAATAGACATTCGGCCCAAGGGTCACACTGAAATATCTTGATATGTAAGTGGCGTACGATGTTATATTCATTCATGGTTAATGTATCGTAGAAGTTTTCGAACGAAATACGTTTGAAAATGACTGATTTATTTTGGGAAGGAATAAATTCGGAAATATTCTTCCAGGGAAGAATGGACTCGCTGAGGTTGATAAGCACTGATCTAGCTAGCTAGCTGATGACGTCATTGTCAGAAAGAGCTATTTGTACGCAAGGTCATAACGTGATGTTGTCACACCTTTATAGATTTGTCTGACGTCTGCCTGTAACATTACAGTAAATCAGGAACAACCGGTGGTTGTGGGTGTGGGGACTCTCATCCGTACCATACCCAGAGCTTGCTCACGTTGATGCTATCAGTAATGGCACTCTACGTGTGTTTTTTTATAATCGTTGTGTAAGCCTGACGTGGAGATGTGGACGTATATTGCCGTAGCCCTGTCCGTCCGATCGTTCCCATTTCTTTTAAACACAATAAAGGCTGGTTTTTATACGCCCACATCTTTCTTTGTGGACGTATCTTGTCGGCACCCTGTCCGTCCGTCGGTCAACATTTGCTTGTAAACGCTCTAAAACTGGAATCAAATGAAATTCGAAGATCAAGTTCGAATTTGAGCTATTTTCGACCGTTAGAAGCAGAGTTATTGCCCTTGCCCCAAAATCTTGAATATTTACCATCCGCATGCCGTGGTTGGCGTATATGGCTGTGGTCCACTATCTTTATATATTTATGAGATCTTATTTTGGTACAAAGGTTTTGAGTTATTGACTTAGTAAAAACGCATCAAATTTGGCTTGTAAACATAATAGAGGCTACAGTTTTTATTTCTTGATGAAATTTGGTATGCTTGTATATATTAATGAAATCGTTGTCTAAGTTCTAATTTGGCTCATTTTGATGAAAGATTTTTTAGTTATTGTATTTGCTTTCGTAAAAAGAATTGTAATTTGGCTTGTAAACATAATTGGGGTTACAGTTTTTATCCAATCCTAATGAATCTTAATATGCATATATATATATATATTGATAAGATCTATAAATTTGACCGGTTTTTTCAGTTATTGCTCTTGACTTGCACCAAATTTGGCTTGCAGTATGAGATCTCATTCAAGTTCGAATTTGTAGATGATAAACGAAACAAAACGTCACCCCTGGTGACTGTAAGTGTAAAGTCATTGCACATAATTCTCAACCATTTTCAGGACAACCATAAATCTGTGGTCTAAAAGATATATATGTATTTTAGATGAAAACTTTAACACTAGTTTATTCTGTCTCATTTCCAAATGGGCATATAAGAAACTAAAGGTAGCTAGTCAGGCAAGGTAACATACGCCCACTACCAGCTGTCAGAAACGATAACAAAGTCTGTAGTTGTTTATGTGAAACCAATCATCCTATTGTTACTAATTTCAAGCTTTACTGAGATCTCACATCAAGTTTCATCAAGATCGGACAAAAAATGTAGTCTCTATGTAGAGCCAAATTAGACGCATTGAATTAATTCAAGGACAATAACTCCATAACCGATAATCCGATTGTTACCAATTTCGTACTTGACTGAGATCGTGTCTATATATACATGCATACCAAGTTCCATCGAGATCTGATTAACAATGTAGCATCTATTGTGCACACAAGCCAAATTAGAATTAATTTAAGGGCAATAACTCCAAAACCATTCATCCAATTATTACCATTTTTTAACATGACATTTCATCAATATATCCGTACATACCAAGTTTCATCGAGATCAGATAAAAACTCATGACTACAATCCAAATTTGAAGCGTTTTTACTAAATCAGGGGCAAAACCAAAACCGTTCATCCGATTATGACCTAATTCAATCTTGACTGAGATCTCATCAATATATTCGATCTCATCAATATATTCATACATACCAAGTTTCATCAAGATAAAAAAAATAGCGACAGACAAACAGAAAAGACAAGACAAGACAAGATAGACAGACAGACAGACAGACGACTATATACGCCCACATTAATGTTTGGGGTATAAAAACGGTGTTTTCCCTAATCGCCCCTTCCGAATTCAACCCTAAATTATTTTCCTTTTCCCAGTTCGCCCCCTTCCCAGTTCGCCACTTTCCCATTTCGCCCCTTTCCCATTTCGCATCTTCCCAGTTCGCCCCTTCCTTTTTTGAAAAAGTATGCCACATAGTAAATTATGCTTGTTCTGATTTGAATTCCGGTCCCCTGTGTATTTTGGTACTGGGCCAGTAGGAATTTGATAAAGAGTAGACTGGAATTTTGCTGCCTCTGTAAAATTTCTAAGATTAGTATTCAATAACTTCCATAGGTTGAAATTATAATTATGTAAATGTTGACTTAAATGTTTATGTACTTCCTTTTCAATTTTTCTTTTATATCATTTTAATTGCAATTCTTTTTCTGTATTCAACTTAGTCCTATACTGTCTAATTATTTTGTTAATACAATGAAAAATAAGAAAGGGTCGAAAGGGGAGAAGGGGGAATAAGGGGCAAAATGGGAGGATGCAGAAAGGGGTGGGTACAATATGAAAAAGGGGCGGATTGGAAAAGGGGGCAAATTGGGAAGGGTCATAATGGGAAGTGGCGAAATGAGAAGGGGCGAAATGGGAAAAAATGGGGCCGAATTGGGAAAGGGGCGATATGGGAATAAACAGAAAAAAAACTTTATCGTGCATACAAACCAAATTTGACGTGTTTTTACTAAGTCAAGGGCAATAACCGATAAATCGTTCAATCACTTATTACCAATTTCGAACTTGACCAAAATCTCAGCAATATATACATGAATACTAAGTTTCATTAAGATTGGATAAAGCCTTCATCGGACATACAAGGCAAACTTAACGCGTTTTAATAAATCAAGGGCAAAACTCTGAAACCGTTCATTCGATTATTACCAACCAAACTTTACCGAGATCTCATCTATATATACATGCATACCATGTTTAATCCAGATCAGATAACAACTGTAGCCTCTATCGTGCATACAAAAAATTTATGACGGACCGACGGAGAGAAGCGTCGGGAATATACGTCCACATTTCCATGTGGGTGTATAACAACTTACAATGTATACTATTTATATTTTTTTTAGCTGCCAAATTACATATTTATCTTTAATTGTTTCGAGTGGTACATAATACTTTTGGTATATGTATATCAAATAATAAGATAGCTTGCCAGACAAGATAACATACGCCCACTGGCAGCTTTCAGAAATGATAAAACATTTTAGTGACTAAAGTATGAATTTTCTCATATTAAAGAAATTTAATAGTTTGAATAAAATGATATATATATTTACTGCTAGTTATTTATGCTGAGAAATACTACAAAATTTTTAAAAATCAATAAACAACCCAAATAAATCAAATTATCACATCAATATACATGATCACACCATGTTTCATTAAATAAATTGAAAACTGTAGTCTCCATTATGTTCACAAACACATTTTGACGCGCGTTTATTAAGTCAAGGGCAATAACTCAAAGACCGTAAATTGAAAAATCATCAAAATCGAACTTGACCAAGACCTCATCAATAGAAATGATCACACCAAATTTCATTAAAATCAGATGAAAACTGTAGTCTCTATCGCGTTCACAAGCCAATTTTGACGTTTTTTTCCTAAGTCAAGGGCAATACCTCAAAAACAGTTCTTCGAAAGATCGTCAAATTCAAACTTGACCAAGATCTCATCAATATAAATGATCACACCAAATTTCATTAAAATCAGTTCAAAACTGTAGTCTCTGTTGTGTTCACAAGAAATGTTGACGGACAGGGGACATGGCAACATATTTCCATGTGCGCGTATAAAAAACATATCAATATATTATATAAGATATATTAATATTATTAAATTGCATTAGAATATTTACAAACAACTCATAATTCGAATGAAATACTTTATTATCTTATTATTCTTATATATTAATTACTGACACAAATCTATGAACATTATATTAATGATTAATATATCAATAGGTCATTCACTGAGAATTCCAACATTGTGTTGTTCAGTGTTTTCATGGATCATTTCTTAAAATATATTTGTTATATATGATATAATATAAAATAACAAATTATCTTTGGTTGACATAATTAAACAAATCTCATAAAAATCGAGCAGTAAATAAGACAATTTGAAGCATTAAAAATATGCAATGCAATTATCAATTCACTGAGTCTCATTGTAGTGTTCACTACTTTTCATTGGAATATTATCTTAAAGTGATACTACGTCTTAAACTGAACATAATATTTATGTTCTCAAGAATGGTTAATTTGAGTATATATTCATCAGTGAACTTACCTGGTTTCATAAAGATACAACAGAATCCCTGGAAAATTGGAAAATTCATAAAACTATGTAATTATTGAAAGATAGCTTGCCAGACAAGGTAACATACGCCCACTGGCAGCTGTCAGAAATGATAAAACATTTTAGTGACTAAAGTATGAATTTTCTCATATTAAAGAAATTTTAATATTAATATCAATAACCCAAATACATCAAATTATCGCCTCAATATACACGATCACACCATGTTTCATTAAAATGAATTGAAAACTGTAATCTCTCATGTGTTCACAAACAAATTTTGACGCGTTTTTCCTAAGTCAAGGGCAGTAACTCAAAAACCGTTCATCAAAGGAACGTCATATTCGAACTTAACCAAGATCTCATCAATATAAATGATCACACCAAATTTCATTAAAATCGGTTGAAAACTGTAGTCTCTATTGTGTTCACAAACAAATTTTGACGAGTTTTACCTAAGTCAAGGGCAATAACTAAAAAACCGTTCATCGAAAGAACGTCATATTCAAACTTAACCAAGATCCCATCAATATAAATGATCACATCAAATTTCATTAAAATCAGTTGAAAACTGTAGTCTCTATTGTGTTCACAAACAAATTTGACACGTTTTGCCTAAGTCAAGTGCAATAACTCAAAAACCATTGATCGAACTATCGTCAAATTCGAACTTGACCAAGATCTCATCAATATAAATGATCACATCAAATTTCATTAAAATCAGTTCAAAACTGTAGTCTCTATTGTGATCACAAACAAATTTTGACGCGTTTTTCCTAAGTTCAAGTTTAAAATTCTTAAATTTTATGTTCATTCTAAGACGTAGTATTCATTTAATAAATGGGTTACTTACAGAACAAATATTAGATTTTTTTCTTTTATCTAAAGGGCAAAAAACAAAATAAATTCAATAGAAAAGACCTTATTTATTTTGATAGTAATAACAACAATGATATTATTACATATTATAAAGATAGAGTGGGGGGATTATAATATGTTATAAATACAGCCTTAAAAGCCTAACCATACACAGTTCTTCCTCACATTCTATTGAAAGATCAGAAGGTAATGTATTTTATTAATATGTATTTTATGAACAGGAAATTTGATAGAAAACATTAAGTTGAATGCTCAGGCATAATTAAATAAGAGCAAGGCAAAGTGGTGTGAAAGGGGTTACAAAGGAAATCCTTTATTATTTACTTCCACCTGATATGCTTCTTCAATGTTATAATGTTATAAAGGAGACCTGAAGCATGTCTCTTGTGATGACAGACGCTGCTCAAATCAAGAGTTCTATATTTTTTTAATTTTGCAATTTCCATCAAAGGGTTTTGAAGAAAAGGTAAGCAATCTAATGTTTTGCTTTGGTGGTTCCCTTAACAGGTTCAGAAAATCCTCTCCTTTTCATGTATAAATAGACAGGTTTCTGTTTTCTGTTCAGACTGTTTAAAGAACAATCAATAATGACAAGTAGCACTCCAGAAAGGGATTGGTTTCTAAATTGTTAACGAAAAATTTGAGTGTCTATTTACACTCTGCACTCTATTTAAACCTTTATATTACATTGTGTTTTACTTTTCATTATTAATACTTATACATAATACTGATTTAGTTGTAAAAATATTAATTTTATCATATCAAATTATGAGTCTTTACAATAAACCATTTACTTAAAGGAAAAAAAAAGTATAACATAAAAATAATCTCATATGTAAAATTCTAGTAGATATAAAAATACACATCTTTAAAAATATCTTCAAACCACAAAATACCACAACCTAGTTTCATTTAGTCTGCAAATTACAGAATCACCCACTATATACTCACTAACTTTACAGACAAGATTGTTCTCCACTACAAATCTTGTGAATAACTTCACTCAGCATAGCATTACACATAGCTGCATAGGGATTAGCAGATACTACTTGCTGTTTGGCAAACTCATTACCCAATTCAGCTGCTTTTTTAAAATCTGTCATTGAATCTTCATCATTGCCTGGAATTATTTTTAACAGGGTTAAATTTGAGGGAAAGCTTATATGACACTATTGAGATGAAGGTCAACATTTCAACTCTGCCCGAGAGATAGATATAAAATATAAAAATGATACCATTCATATTATCAAACTGCTTTTATGATTATATATTCACACACCAGTTTATGAACTGCACCAACAAATAAATGTGGGCATATAACAATACATGATAAACCTACCTGCTAACTTTCTCAGTAATGCTCTCTGTGTATAAGCTTGTTTAGCAGCTTGACCTCTACCACAACTTAAGGTAATGGCTTTAGATAAATCTTCTAATGCCTCTAAAATGATACAGAAATCTTGTCATTTAATATACTTTATTCCTTTTTATAAAGTTTTATCTCAGAAGTTTTCTTGTGATCAAAGTCATTTTTTACCATAATCTCAGAATATTAATACAAGAAAGACTGATCAGCTAATATGTCATATGTCAAAAATTACCATCATTTTGACCCATAAGTCTATAAACCTGAGCTCTGTTGTTGTATGTAGAGGCCCAGGACGGAGCCTTGTTGACAGCCTGGTTTAAATATTTCAGAGCTTCATCATAATTTTCTTCTTCAGCTTCCTTGACACCTTTGACCTCCAATTCTTTTGCTTCCTTTACTTCTAACGTACTTTGTGGCTCTGAAAATAATGCATGATAGTACAAAATGTTAACAACAATCTTTCTATCAACTAATGCTTTTCTAACACTTTGAGATAACAGAAAAATACACCTTGTTGCTATATTACTGCAAACTACAACAGACATCTGTTTTTTCCTGAGCAGTTTCAGAACTTGCTATTTATTGTTTTAAATACAACGGAAACAAATTTGATTTACAATTTAAAGTGTTGTTTTACTTTCAAAAATCAAATTGTAATTGAGATGAATCAGAATGTACAGTCAAGTAACCTATTTTCGTGGAAACCTATTATTCGTGGATTTCCGGAAAGGATTAATAATTTACATGAGCGACCTTGCGCGACCTCGACACATTAGTTTATTTTGATAAACATTGGTTTTCTCTACAATATCAGCTAGTAGAATGAATCCAGTAGTTTTAAGCAAGGTAAAATGTATTAATGTATACTTTGACAAATACAAAATGGGGGATTTCACTTTTACCAAAAGTCGCCATTTTTTATCGGCCGAATTTCCTTATAATACCAAGCAGTAACCGGCATTCCAAGTGTCGTCTGCTAGAATGTAGTCCAACGAATGAAGTTACGTGATCAACTAGCGGATTCCATGTCAGCAGAAAATTTCTATGGAACACAAAGTGGACCATATTCTTATGTTGTTTCAGTGATTTTAAGCAATAAATCACGCTACGTATCTTATTTTGTCAGTCATTATTTTTTTTAAATCGTGGTTCTTTGAAGGAATTGTCAATAGTTATAATGAATTGATATTAAAGATAAATACTAAGAGAAGTTAATTATATCACCCGATAACCATACAACGTGTTTTTCTCGACTTATTTATAGATCAAACATTGAAAATAGGTGAAGCATTCTGCCGCCGTTGCTGAGTTGGTTGCTCATGAAATATGGGTCAAAGAGAACGATTCATAAAGAAAATCGAAATAAACCAATTTTAATTATTTTGTAGAATATCTGAGGAAACATCTAAGACATAAAAAAAAAATTTTGTTTTTTTAACTTTGACAAAATTCTGTGTTGAATCCTTATATCCACGAAAATAGGTTACACCACCGAACTGTAGGGTTGGGTGAAAATGTGGTGAAAAAGCAACATCAAAGCTTTCTGTGTCTTGGCATACCTATGTCTATGATACTGGCCGTGTCATATTCATCATTACTTTCGGAAAATGGTAGATTAGGATTGAAAATTTGTGAGAGTATAGCTTTATCGTGCGCAGTAATATCTTTTTCTCCGTGAGCAGCCATGTTGGTGAAATTGAAAGTACAATATGTTGCCAGCATAAAATAGTCCTTAACACCAAGACTCTTCGTCGCAGCTGTGTGTACACAAAGTGCGACTGGATGACAAAGGCTAAAAATAGTTAACTCTCTGTTGCCAGAATATACGGGTTGCTCTAAAAGCCGAAAAGGGTCAGCAGAGTCCTTTTCGTCAGAATCATCATTCATTATAACGACATCTCAATAAAACAGCCATTCAATAATTCAATAAGATCGGCTACAAACGACGTAAAAGAATTCTAATGATTTTTTTTTATAAACACAAAAAAAAAACAATGCGATAAATGTATTTTTAATATGCATGAGTCCAAAGTCCAAGTCAAGTCAAAAGTTGAAGATGGTTAAAAGGTAATCCTCGTAAGACATTTAGAAGTATCACAGCACATCACTTGATAACGTTACCTGTGTGTGTAATGAAACGTTGTCTTCAATAATAAATAGAAGTCTATATCCATAAAAACTGTTGTTTCTTAAGGTTATAAAGGTAATTATACATTACATAATTATATAGATCAAAATATTAAGAGAGAATATACCATAGCAGTTTGTAATTGACAAGTACCAGCTTTAAAATAATTTTTATCTGTAGGTAGAACTGGTGTAAATCGATCTGAAATAATCTTGTGCAATAGAATGGTTTGGTATAAGGTTTTATAAGAGAAACTCTCTTATAGAAGCACTGGTCACAAGTATGTATAGGGACTGTGAATTACAGCATTGGAATACATCAATTTGATTACCTTCATCTGGAGAGATTTACAAGATTGTTCTCCGGGCTTCAGAAAACATGAATGAAACTCAACGATGGTTTCAAGTTCGATTAGATTTATTCGGATTTAAAAATACATGTTGATGTTTACAGTGACAAGTCGATGAGCCGAGTGCCGAAACAACTCGGTGAGACAAAAACAACAACCTCAAATAATCTCGAATCCCACAAGGTGCAGAAGAGTAGGACGTAAAACTCCATTCATTTCATTTCATTTTCAAATAATCTCAAAACCAATCGATAATCGATACGAGTTACCCCCCTTTTGCACGACTTAGTCCCTTTTAAACATACCCGCCTCCTTGATGCGACAAGGATTCAAAGGAGCATCAAAATGCAATACTAATAAAGCTATCTACTAACAACATCTAATAATCTATAAAATATAAACATCGACGTCTATTTCTATAACTATCATTTTTACTGCTATTATATTTACTATCTCTATAAACAATGCAGAAGTTTAGGAATGGTGTTATGCTTTTGAGAAATCCTTTCACAACATCTGTACACAAATTTCATTTCAATAAAATCTGTACAACCAATATGACAAGCCTTTAAAGATGGGTGGGGTCGAAAAAAGAACATTTCGTTAGAGCACTGATCACAGAAACAACGGGAAATGTCACACCACACGTCACAAAGTCAAGTCAGTAGCGGGTATGTCCACCGAGAGCATCAATACATGCCAGAACACGCCTACGGACTGATGCCGTCAAACGTATGATGACGTTGGGCGTTGCCATTCCTCGAGGAGACATCGTTCCAAGTCCTGGACGTTGACTGGAGGCACACGGCGACGTCAGATTTGCCGATCGAGGTGGTCCCATAAGTGCTCGATGGGATTCATGTCCGGTGAACATGCGGGCCATGGCAAAACCTGTACGTTGACGTTGGCAAGGAAGTTCTGTGTCAATCTTGCTGTGTGTGGCCTTGCATTGTCATGTTGGAAAAGGAGTCCACGAGGCTGTTGCTGAATAAAGGGCACCACAACAGGCCGTAGGATGTCATCAATATAACGCTGTGCATTCAGGTTTCCACGAATTACAAGCCTCGTTTTGACGTCACCACATATGCCACCCCAAACCATTAACCCTCCACCTCCAAACGGCCGGACCTGTTGGATACAGTTAGGCGCCAAACGTTCACCAAATCGTCGGTATACAAGCTGTCGTCCATCGTTTTTGAAGATGAGGAATCTGCTCTCATCAGAGAACATAACACGTGCCCAGTCCCGCCGTTGCCAACGTCGAACTCGCCTGGACCAGATCAGCCTGTTGTTCCGGTGTCAAGGCCTCAGGAGCGGTCCGCGGTAGGGATGACGTGGCCGGATACCAAACTGCCGTAGTCTCCTGTAGACGGTCTGTCGACTGATCCTGTGTCCCAGTGCTGTAGCCGCCGTGGACGTCGCTGTTACGGTGCGGTTCCTCAGGTGTAATACCCGAATGTAACGATCTTCACGGGGCGTGGTTACTCGTGGTCTTCCACTCCTGGGCCTGTCTGACGTCTGACCTGTCTGACGTAACCGCTGCATCAACCTGATGATAGTGATGCGTGCGCAGCCCAACCTTCTGGCGACGTCGACGTGTGTCGCTCCTTGTTGGACCATTCCAACGGCTCTCTCTCTCTCGATGGCTGTGAAACGTGGCATATCTTGTTCTTTTTGTTGCTGTGATATCAACGTGTCTGATCAGCCGTTTTATACAGTTTTTATGCACGTACAGAACATGCTAGAGAGGGAAATGTCACTTTCATGAAATTTACGTTTTTTCCCGGAAGTGATCACGTGTTCCCGGTATTTTTATCGACTATGCTGTGTTTGGGATATGCAATACGAATTTACATGTTTTCATATTAGACAATTCACTTAGTAAAAAACAATTTTGAAAATAAGTTGGTATCGTTTCTTTTGGACACTAGTTTATATACACGATGTCGATGTCTTGCTAAATTAGCACTATAACTATGCAATACGATACTGCTATACTAAATTGCTGCATTAATGAGCACTATACTTCCTATTCTATGCACAACTATACTTTTTTTCTATTTTCTGAATAAATTTCAAAATAACGAAAAGTGTGCCAAAACAACAAATCAAGTGACCATACAAATACACAACATAATATACAATAGATCATACATCCAATGGGCACAGTCGGTGGATAGGCCGCTTCAAAATATTGTCTCTGACTTTCACATCAACGACGCGTACATGTCCATCATTACATGGGTAGGTTTTAACTATGCTTCCTAATGGCCACTTTCCTCGCGGTGATTGAGGATCTATCAGGAGCACAACATCACCGGTCTCTAGATTGTTACTAGGAGTGTTCCATTTATTACGCTTATTGAGTGTTGGCAAAAACTCACGGATCCATCTACGCCAAAATTTTCCTATTAAGTCCTGAATTCTACGCCAGCGTCTACGAGGGTCATAATTAGCACCATCGAATTCCGGAGCTAAAGCATTACCGAGCTGTCCACATAAAAAGTGACTAGGGGTAAGGACTGGATCATCGTCCGCACTATCACCAATGTAACATAAGGGACGACTATTTAAGAGTCCTTCCGCACCCACGATCGCGGTTAAGAGTTCTTCATCCGAAATGTCTGCATCTTGGAGAATAGCTTTAATAGCACGTTTTGCTGACTTGATCATGCTTTCGAAAACACCACCAAAATGAGGCGCAAGTGGCGGATTGAACCTCCATTTAATTCCTCTATTCGACAAACAATTTCCAATTTTATTTTGGTCGAGTATACTGAGCTCCTTTAACTCACGATTGGCACACACGAAATTCGAACCATTGTCCGATACGATTTCCAGTGGTTTTGATCTTCGCGACACAAATCTGTCAATAGCACATAAAAAGCTATCGGTATCCATGCTCCAAGCCATCTCGAGATGCACAGCGCTAGTTGCGAGACAAGTGACACAAATATCTCTTGGTCCGGGTCTTTCCTCTTCCTTGTTTTGTTAAATACGGTCCTCCAAAATCTAATCCAACTCTCGCAAATGCTCGAAGAGGCTCGCCTAAACGCACACGAGGAAGGGGAGCCATGATTTGTTCAGCAGGCTTCCTTCTGCGCTTCATACACATTGGACACTTTAGATTTACACTTTTCACTTGCCCGAGCACGAAGGATCCAAAATTTAGTGCGAATTTCCGAAAGCACAAATGACACACTACTATCATGATTTAAACACTTGATAATGATTAATTAACAAATTGGTTATTTGATGCTTTTGTGGTAAAATAATAGGAAACCGTGCACAATATGACAGGTGGTTTGCATTTTCCAATCTCCCTTTTACACGAAGCACACTATTATCATCTAGGAATGGGTTAAGATTTGATAATTTGGAGCTAGATGAGACACATCGACCCTTTATTAACTCACACAATTCCGATTAAAACACATCTTGCTGAGCACATTGAAAACAATAATTTTCCGAAATTTCAATTTCCTTTGAGGTAAGAAAGGAATCCCTAAGTTTTTCACGATTTCTACAATTGTGCACAAATCGCTTCACCCACCCTGTTATACGTACAAGTCTGAACCAGTCAGAATATCTATTGGGGTCCAAAATGCCAAAATCAGTGGAGGTCAGTAGTGTGGTAGCAGTGTTACGTATCTCCTCAAGGGCCTCAGTGGGAACAAAGTTCTTGTCAACTGGCCAAGAAGAACAGTCTTGCAACAAATAGTCCGGTCCGTTCCACCAGAGATTACTACCTGACAATTCGCTTACTGATAATCCACGTGTTGCCAAATCAGAAGAATTTTGTTTTGTGGGAACATAATGCCAATTTCCAGGGTTAGAATTTTCGTGGATTTCACCAACACGATGCGAAACAAATGGCTTATAAGACCTTGACTCTCCCCGAATCCAAAATAATACATTTTTTGAGTCCGACCAATATGTGACCGAGTTAATATTCAAAACCTTTTTGATAGTTTGGGCAAGACGTAAGCCTAAAATCGCACCACAGAGCTCTAATTTAGGTATAGAAATGGTTTTCAAGGGAGCTACCCTAGTTTTAGAGGCAACAAGGTTAACAGAAATGGACGAATCATCATAAACTGTGCGAAGATAACAAGCTGCGGCATACGCCTTTTCTGAAGCATCTACAAAGGTGTGCAAGGTTTTATCAGAAGAGGACAAGTTATTATTAGTAAGGCAACGATTAATTTGGATCGATTTTA